AAATATACTTTGAAATATTGTTGATCCAGGTAAAGTAGGTCTTCATCCATCAAAGTGTTATTTCTGAAGGAATACACTGGTTTAACTGTATGGGTGTGCACAGTATAATTTGATGCCATAACATTAGGCCGGGCATTAGGCCTGTAGCCAGGGGGAGGTGTCAGTGGCCAGTTTTTCACCATTCTGAGTGGTCAAATGTCAACCCCCTGGTATTTTTGGAAAAGTGAACCCCTTTCGCAAAAGCTGGAGATTATACATTATAAAGTACAAGGAAATGATCGGAGAACATGAAGAATAGTATAATTATACATATGGAAATTGTTATATAGAAATTGTTATATTGAACATAGAGAGAGAGAGAGGGCATTAACATGCAAAATCTTCAAAGGACTTCATCTATGCTTAGATTCATGCTTATGGAAAGAAGTGAAATACCTTTGAACCAAGGATGGAATTATTCGTATGAAAATGTTGTTATATAGAGAGAGGGTATTAACATGCAAAATCAATTAGTTTCAGATAATCATACACTCTAAAAGTATGTACATAAAGCTATGTACATATGTATACAGATAATGTGGTTCAAATAAATAAGATTATTTGCATACTCATCTTTATCTACAAAATAAGAAGCTTATAAATAAATAAGTACAGGGTGTCCCGAAAGTATGGAGCCCCCCCTAGGCAGACATATACCATACTTTCGGGACACCCTGTATATGCCAACAGATATGTCTGGTATCCATGAACCCATGATCTGATTGACCTGTTGAGGTAGCAAAATGTCAGAACCTCGAAGTTACAATTTTTCTTTTTCTTCCTTATTTCACGAGTTGTGCGCAGAGTCCCGGCAACATGTTTATCACAAATGTGTGTTCAGAAGACAACATCTAATAAATCAAAAATAAGGAAAAAAGAAAAATGGTTCCCACATTGAATCCTGCTTCAATATATGTCAGAAACGTGATACCTTATACAATTTTAGAGATCCAGTCCATTGGTTTACTTGGTTCGCTTGATCAGGAAGAATATTATGTTGGTTTGTAACTTGTTGACCATAATTCTTCAAGTTAGCTGTGGTTAGCATAATCATAGGCAGACATAAGTCTCTCTGAAACAGTTTTGAATATTTTGGAGAGAGATGGCATTTCAGTACCCTTGGCAAGAGTTTGATGTGCTTCGTAAAAGAGAGATTCATCTTCATCAACCTAATGTACAAGGCTCTGATACTTAGGTGAAGAGTTCACTAAGTGCCTGGAAAAACAATCTGCTCTTGCCTCTTGATTATGTTTAAATTTCCGGAGAAAGGAAGTTTATTTCTTGCGATAATTTCCAAAAGGCATTTATTGGCTCGATTGTAGATAGTTAAACATAGAATTTGTTCTGCCTTTATATTATAACAGGTGTATATATTGTGACAATTCTCTATTGACTTGTATTGTATATGAAGTGTTATTTGGACAAACAGGGTTTATTCGCTCATATACCTGTAAACGGTGCTTTCTAGTCTTCTGCAGTGTTAGAATTTATTAAATACACCTTGATTTGTTAGTTGTAAGAGTTGGACAAATGTTCTCTGATGTTTTTGTAGTTTTTTAATCTAATTCCTCATTCGTCCAAAATCCTGTATCCAACCTTCAATTCATTATGAATCAAAACTATTTATTCAATCCTTTAAAAGAATTGGTAAATTTTATTTTATTGCCAGTTTTGAATATCTTTGAGTTCTTATATTAGTCTTGAAAAGTTAAAGTTAACAACTTGTTTAGATCCTGTCAACGTTTGTGACAATATTAACTTTAAATATAATTTCTTTTTTTCGGTAAGAGGAAATTTACATTTAGCTTTACAGGAAGAAATTATCATTTGGAAACTTGCTCTAAAATTGGTGAAGGGTCCATAGAATATATAAGGTATTGATATTTGGAAGGAATATAGATTTTATCCTCAACTCAATATGATATTCACCTTAGAAAATATCAAATTGATACGGTGGCTAAACTCCTCAGTCAAAATCATATCTCCCTCAGAATAAAGTTCATATTCCCTCCCACTTATTTAATGACCTTCTATACATCCATACATACTAATGTTTCAATAGTTATTTTTATATTTCAATATAATTTTTATGTCAACTTTATATCTATAATTTTAATGTCAACTTTATATCTATAATTTTAATGTCAACTTGTACAACGGGCAGATAATAAAGGCAATCTAAAACTGCATAGTGCAGTGGCATGAGGATAATCCATTACAAAGTACAGTCCATTACAAAGGACAGTCCATTACCAAGGACCTCTTCAATGAACAGTGATTGTCATATTGAGTTATCATATCTATAATTTCATTAATAAGTTCATACCAGTGTATTCCTTCAGTCATATTTGTACTTGATGGATAGAGATGGTTAAAATTGTCATAAGCTATTTTGTGTCAAATCCCTGGCAGTATATGCATGTCCTCTCTTAACCTGATAATGCAAGATAATATATAATAACATGGATATATTTTATAGTTTGTTTCATCAGTTGAAATGTTTAATAAAGCTTTTCCCATTGAATAGACAGAATTATTCATCTGTGTTAGTAATTGGCATTATATTGAGTGTTTTTCAAGTACGATTTATTTCAGTTTCCATCTGCTAATGACAATAGATTATTTCATATTGAAGTTCAGATTTGCACATTTTGCAATACACTTACCCGTAAAACATATTTTATGGAGCATGTCTTTTCAATAATGATGATGCAATCGTGAAAATAATTCAATATGCAAGAAAATGATTTATCTCAACAATAATATTATTTCGTTTTCAAGATTATTTTTTTACGGATTTTTCAACGAATGAGAAAAAATAGATGTAAACTTTTGAATAGAAGCTTAGGGGTTACACTAGAATATCCTACAACAGGCTTTAAATGAAAACAACAGGCTAAATTAATGGAAATTATAGATTTAACATGGAAAAGTTGAAAAATCCCTAAAAAACAACAGGCGATTTTGTGAAAACAACCGGTGAAAATCGCCTGTTGCCTGCTGCTAATGAAACCCCTGAGGTGGTTGTTAGTCATAATAATATGGTGTTCAGAAGCAATCTGTTGCTTCTGTTGGTTGGACTGGAATAAAGCAAAACTTATATAATCAGAATACTTTTGGAATGGGGCAAAAATGTTCAGATAATCAGATGTTCACTTTTCTTTGCTATTTTACGAGTCTTTTAATAGGGGAGTCAATAGGAAAAAATCAAACAGTGTACAGATTTGACAGTTGTCTCACGCTTTTAACTAGAGAGGTATTGCGTGTTCTGAGATGATAAGAGAGGTGTTCAGAGTAGACATGTTTTGATTAGAGAGGTGTTTTTATATTACAGGTTGAGTCAAAATAACATTAAGACAAGTTGCAATGCTATTTTCATATTATCCTTTGGAGTTTGTAAATACTGGCTTGTCAGAATCTAAAGTAACCCTCATCCCTCATTATCTTCCAAATTTTCACTCTTTCCTGTGTTGTTAAGTACTCAATGCCTAAAGCTCAAATGTGTATACATTTACTGACCAAACAAACAATTTGTTATAAACTTGAATAATGTAAATTTAATTAAAAGGTTAATGTAAAAATACCAGTTCAGAGTTGCATCTAGATGACAATATTAACCTGCATGTCACAATCAATCCATATACAGTTTTGTATTGATTTAACCTCACATGCTCAATTATAATTGAACAATCAGTTGAAAAAACAATTTACATTATGAAGCAATTTCATTAAGTAGTATGTAGGACAAAGTATTTGTACATGTACTCGCGTTTATGATTGTAACTTGATATGAAGGGAAATAAAACAAGAAAAAGGATAATTTCAACTATAACTCATATGGTACTTAAACAGGTGTTAAATTGGGATTATTGATATTTCATTCCTTATAATAATTATTATTGTTGAATACATTGTAAGAGAAACATATATATTGGATAGAACTGATGATTTTATGATAAAGTTATTGTTTTCTGCATCATGGATATTTCATTGTTTGAAATGGTAGGTACATAACAGAATTTTTTCCTTTGATCTTGGTTTCTATCGATTTGAATTCTATATTGATTTTATTCCCTATGTTGTTTACATGTTAATTTTCATTCATTTGTTAGTATTAACCTCTATAACTTGAAAGTAATGTTGAAATCTAAATTATTTAATCAAGAAAGTTATCTGTGTTCCTCTGTATTACTGTTGGTTGAATGTGAGTCCAGAAACTCTATTTCTTGATTTCCTAATTGATAGTTGATTCGTATATAGAAAGGACTTTTAATCTGTTTGAATGTTAATTAATGATTCAAAATTCAATTTTTCATATAGTAATCGTACTAAGTCCTTAAAAATTGATAGCAATAATATATTTGAATCTTTACCCAATCATAAATCGTTCAATTATGATGATCATTTCTCGATTTTTTGTTTATTATTTATTATATGTCTTTGATACTCCTCATATCCATAACTCATTAAAATGCACACACAGAGATGTTTCAATGTTTTTGTTGTCTTTTTGTTGATATACAGGCTTATGGAAACTAATTACGTACACTTTATTTTCAATAAAACATGGTGGTAACCAGCGTTTATGAGACACATTCCATATTCACACAAAGTAGACATCCCTTTGATATGTATACAATACACATGTTTTGATGAAAAATGATTTACGATTTCATGATATATTGTCTATATGGTATATTTGTAGTCTGTTCATATATTGATTTAGTAATTAAAAACCAGGACAGAACAGAGTCACCTAAAGAAGATTAGGATTTGCACTCTGTGAAATCTCTTTAAAATCATTTTAAAGGAAATTGTTGGCTTATAACACAAATTGTTGATTTTAGAAAATAGCCATTGTATCAAAAAAGATTTCCACGCCTCAGATAGCCCTTATCACATCAAGATGAAATTCTTTGTCATTGATTCTTAAAGTTTATATTTTCTTCTATGTGTTACAGGAAGAAGCTTTAAAGGTGAAATCTGAAACGCCTCCTAGTGATAATGCAGAAGATGAGATGTCACCTCCCCCACAGATGGCGCCCAAAAAGCGACCACGTCGTGGTGCTGTCAGCGCAGAGGTCTATTCAGAGGAGGATGCAGCTTCATATGTGAAAAAGGTAAGGATGAGTGGAGAAATGGGCCTATATTGCCGTTGACTCGATTATTTGTGAGTGAACCTAGCTGAAGTCTGCCTCAAGCCAAAATCAGAGTAAAACAAAAATTGATTTTCAAACTTTTTCACCCAAACAATTGATTATTCTACTTGCAGATTAATCTTACCACCACTATGAAGTAGGCAATTTAAACCAAAGTTTGACTTTAGAGCTTTATTTTCAGCACTCAAGCATTATACATTAATATCTCAATGAAATCATGCTTGTCTTTGTTCATTGAACTGTGACCAATTGTTTCTGAGAAATTCAATCATTGAGATAGATGATGAAAACTTAATGACTTGTTTATACAAATAGACAAGACTCTGAGGAGAAGTAGATATAGGGGAGGAGCAAGATGAGTAGAGAAGGATAACATTGAGACCTGTTTGTAAATCTGATCAATATACAAAAAGCCTACATATAAAGAGTTCAAGGTCATGAGCCAGATGATTTATTCCAGTCAGTCTTCAAAATAAGAAAAAGCAGTATAATCCACCATACATAATGCATATTGAATGTGACTTGAATCCCAGTACATGTATAATTTTCATATAAATTCTTCAGTTCACTTGATTCAATGTTATACAAGGTGACATGCATCACAGTTAATAAACTATACATATATCGATTTCTTGTTTGAAGAAAAATTCACGTTTCTCTCTATTCTCTAACCAACCTGTGCTCTCTTAATATAATTGAATCCAGCTCCTTGAAAGATGAGATGAAATTCAGTAGAGCAATCAAACTAGAAAACTGTGTTCAAGCAATAGTATTTCCTGGTTACTGTGAATCATTAAAGATTCATGTTGTGTCAATATAATTGAAGCAGTGGGTGCTTATGAGTGAGTAATCCCATTCATCAAGGGAGATGGCATTGACCTGATCATATATTACCTGGAGGCTGAAATAATAACGTAGATGCTAGTAGGTAGTTACCAGTTTCACCACCAGGTGGCTCGTTCGACTAAGATAGCATGGCTGGTATAGTAGAAAGTTCCCTTTAACTTAAACTACATCTTTTTAGTGGTTTGCCATGGAGAATAAGTATTATGGGTTCCTCGGCCTCTATTGTCGTTTGAATGGAGCAGAAACACAAGCCATTATATATCAGGGCTCTCACCAGGAAATATCTAGGGTGTGGTGGAAACATATTCTGCATATCCATTCAATCATGATAAATCATATTTATGTGATATGTTATCCTCGTTACATGCTATTATTACATATTCAGTCAAGTTTAGACTGTGGAAACACTCATGATTTGCCAATAGGTTGTGGTGGGGGCTGAATAGACTGTTATACTGCTCTACAGTCTAAAGTCTAGCGAGAGCCATGTATATAAAGATTGTCTTACGAGAATGAAGAATATGTCATTTATTTAAATTATTGTGACATCCATAGCCTCCACTATTCTTTTAAATATTTTTTTAATTCTTTAAAAGAGAGGTTCATAAGTTTATCAGTAAGGAGCGTTATATTAATAACATTAGCAGTACTCACGATGGTAGGAGCTAACCGTAAAAAATCTTGAAGTTGATGAACCAGAATATTCATTCTAATAGGTCTATACCTTAAATATGTCCCTGAATTTTGTGTCAATAACCCGAGTGTAATATCCTTCTCACACTCAAGAAATGTCCCTTGGTGTTATGGCCCTGGGTTACTTGGATTGTGGGAGAGGGGGTATTAGACATTGTTTCTTTTCACGTTGGATTATGGTTTGGGATATTTGGGGTTTGTTTTCATTATGACAAACTGAGGCTACCGAGTAAAATTACACCTACCTCTCTCTTGATCAAAAATGGAGGTCTGCATCCAGTATTTCCAGTTGTACCAGACAAAAATACTGGATGCGTTTCTATCCCCTGACTAAGATTTACACTAAAAAAAATTGTGCTGGGTTCTACAACAATTTTTTGTCCTTTTTGCACTTGTATGTAAATATCTATCCTAAAGCTTAACCCTAAGCTAGATTGTTTAGTATGAGAAACAAGTGTCAAAGAAATCTACAATCTTTGAAGCTCTCATTTGTTCAACTAGTGCTTTATGTCTATAGATAAGACATGTGATATTAGGGAAAGGCTCATTGTGATGCCAGACATGAAACAATTGCTTCTTTACTTTACTTCTTTACATATCACATTGAATTAGGAAGAATCCAAGGCCAGTTGTCTTTCCTGATTCTGCCACATGAGGGAACAGAATCAGGAAATGTATTTGCTATTTCTCTTGTATGTTGTCGCATTCACAGTCAAATGGGAATTGTGCATCTCATAAGGCCATGGGAATAAGCAAATGTTTAACATTTTCTCTTTTATCATCAAATTTAAATTAAAGTCCATGTGGTATTTATATTGAAAATAAATCCTTATTTTAGTATACTGTAGTAGGCATGTTTTTGACAGAAATATGTTTTTTATCATATACTTGTACCAAAACAACAGCTTCCCCTGATCACCAATGAGTTATGACTTGTAAAAGTTAAGCTTAGAGGAGTTTTGAGTATGCTCTATTAGAGCATACTGTAGGCGTCTTTAATTTCGCGGTGTGTATATTTTCGCTATATTCGCGGGATGCCCTCCAGCCGCGAAAAAAAAGAACCCTCAAATTATTAGCTATACATCTAGGAAAAAGATCTGAAAAAAATTACGAAAAAATTATGATTTTGTTGATTTTCTACAATTCCGTGACACTTACTGCTTATATCCCTAAGGTACATCATATTTCGTAGGTGTGTGTGTATAAGTATAGCTTCATAAGTCATAAACCATGAGAAAGTAATGCACACAGTTGTTATTTATAGCGAAAAACTATCTCAAACATTTTAATTTCAGTTCACGCATGCGCACTAAACTCAAAGGTCAAAGTTTAAAATTAACATCCGCGTAAGAACTAACCCAGCAATCAGTAGTGCAGGACTTCTATAGTATAATACAGTGCTCAAAATGCATATGCAATCAAAGTTCACACTTATTTGATTAACTGCCGGGCGTAATTGGCTTAGTTTATGAACAAGCAACTTAAATGTCAGTCCCGGGATATCTGGATCGTTCATAACGTTTTCGTCAGTGCACAGAAAACTCCCAAGATGCTTTGCAAATATGGCAATTTTTCGTAAGTTTATTATTTTGTTTATACAGATAACTTGATAAGTGCATTTAGCGCGAAAATATAAACACGCGGAATTAACGAATTTATAAAAGGCGCGAAAATTTACCCCCGCGTAAATTAAGATGTCTACAGTATAATATATTTTATCTTTCATTCCAAGCATTTTATTAGAGCAACAGGGAGAGATACAATATCTCAGAAAAAAGCTATATTATATAAAGATAGAGCACGAGCGGATATTGAGATATTGAGGGGGTGAATGTAACAATGAGAATCCTATCTTTAATAATAAGAGAAAGCTAATATTGTTGGTAATGTAATTACAAAGTACTGATGAGTTAAAAGCGTGAGTTGATTCTCATAATTTTATATTGCCATATTTCTCAATTAGATTTATTTGTTGTAATAGCTGTGACATTTCTAATAAAAAGCATTGTGACAATGATGACTTGACCTTTTATCGAATTTATCGTGTCATATTCTCTCTCCTCCCCCAGCTACTCTCTTTTGATCAGAACTACATTTTAATATGATTATTATTTTTACAGAGTAGGTTTAAGCTCTTATTTAATTTTTTTGTATATTTCAGGTTGTACCCAAGGACTATAAAACTATGGCAGCTCTCTCGAAGGCAATTTCGAAGAACGTTCTTTTCACTCATTTAGATGACAACGAAAGAAGGTTAGGAATTATAATGTTTACACAGTATCTGTTCATCTTCAAGAGGAGCTATTTCTGCTTATTTGAAAATGTAATGAGCTGTATATTGAGATGTGTACCCCTGACATTTACATAGGGCTTTCCATCTAAAAGTACATTTTCGATAAATTTATTGATCATTTGGAAAATTGTTACATGTGATAAGAGCATAAAAATCAATTTACAAATATTAAATCTTTCAACATGAAAAGTGCAATGAACCTACTCAAGATCAAAATGTTTTCTGAAAAGCAGAATCATTGTGATCTTAAGCTGAATTTGACTGAATTTGATCACAATTCATACTTAAAAACCTTAAAGGCCCAATATAAAATTTAAACAAACCCATACTTTACATGGGGCCTTTAACCTTATAAATTGGGAAAAGATGGATCATAAGAACAGTATCAGTCAAGCTTTAAATATATAAAATGAAGATTCTGTCTAACATTAATGAATTTTAATCAATAAGTTAACTCTATTCTATCCAGCCTTAAAGAGAACGTATTAGATGAAATGATTTCTTAGAAAGCTTACGTAGGATTGTGAATGTTGTGCTTTATATCTTGATTTGTTGAATAAGGACGAATGTAATCCTATCACTGAGTGGGTATTGAAGTGTAAATCCTTGATTGAGGGCTCCGTCTTTCATGGCACGTTTCATTGTACAATAATGGGAAATTATCATGCTATGCATACTATGATTGCTGTTTGATATGCCTTGAAAATATTGAAAAATGATGAATCTATTCATTGCTGGTTGATTTGCCTTGAAAATGAATATTCTTTTGATTGCTGGTTGATATATCTTGAAAAATAATGAATGCTGGTTGATTTGCCATGAAAAATGAACATTCTATATTTTGCTGGTGATTTTGCTGGAAAATAAAAATTCTTCAGATCGCTAGTTGATTTGCTTTGAAAAATGAAAATGAAAATTGTTCAGATTGCTGGATGAATTGCTTAGAAAATGAAGTTAGTTTGATTCGAGTTTGATTGCTGGTTGATTTGCCTTGAAAATGAGGATTCAATGATTTGCTTGTTAACTTACATTGAAAAATGAAGATTCTATGATTTGCTTGTTGATTTGCCTGGAAAATGAAAATTCTTCAGATATCTATAGATTTGCTTTAAAAAGTAGAACAGCAGTATAACAACGTACAATCACTTTAGAAATCAATAATAGGTTTACTCTATAATAAATTATGTTCTTAAGTATATAATGAGTTCTTGATGACTGCCTTTTCTTGTTTTTCAGTGATATATTTGATGCCATGTTTCCTGTACATCGACATGGAGGCGAGATTATAATCCAACAAGGTAAACACACCATTGGTATAAGAGGGGGTCTTTCAGAATAGAGTATAATATATAACAGGCATAAGTCATTTCTATATCATTTATTATACATGTACATGTGTGTTTATAAAATATACAAGAATTCATAATCCTCCACACAATTGTGAGTCTAACAAGATGAGCCGTGTAGAGTAATATACCGGCGATTACTAGAGTGCTGCTAACTCGATAAAAGGCTGGCGCTGGCTAGAATTGTCTATGGTTCTAGCCAGGATAAAGATACCAGTTCTTCAACTCGACAATGGGAAGAACTGCTCTACCTAAGTGACTAATATGTCATGATGTGACATCTAAAGAGTCGATAAAAGATATATGTATAAAGTGCATTGGATTAAGAATGTAAATGGTAAAATGTTGGAATCTCTGATTGACCCTCCCCTAAACTATCTCACTTGCACTTCCAAAAAGTTTATTTAAGTATGTTAAGTGGTCATGCAGTTAATGAAATGGTTTATGAGTAGACTGAGTGCAAATGGTTTATGAGTAAAATGAGTGCAAATGGTTTATGAGTAGAATGAGTGCAAATGGTTTATGAGTAGAATGAGTGCAAATGGTTTATGAGTAGAATGAGTGCAAATGGTTTATGAGTAGAATGAGTGCAAATGGTTTATGAGTAGAATGAGTACAAATGGTTTATGAGTAGAATGAGTGCAAATGGTTTATGAGTAGAATGAGCGCAAATGGTTTATGAGTAGAATGAGTACAAATGGTTTATGAGTAGGATGAGTGCAAATGGTTTATGAGTAAAATGAGTGCAAATGGTTTATGAGTAGAATGAGTGCAAATGGTTTATGAGTAGAATGAGTGCAAATGGTTTATGAGTAGAATGAATGCGAATGGTTTATGAGTAGAATGAGTGCAAATGGTTTACGAGTAGAATGAGTGCAAATGGTTTACGGGTAAAATGAGTGCAAATGGTTTATGAGTAGAATGAGTGCAAAACTTTTGGGAGGAGCCCTTATGTATGGAATAGCATGAAGTGAACCCACCAAATCAGTAATAGCACTTGAAAGCCAATAAACTTGCCTCTAATGCCTTGCATATTACAGTTCCATATGGTTTATGGGTTATTGTGTTAAGTGTTTTTCAAATGTTCACTGAAGCTTTTATGATAAATGTGATTCTGTTAATGGATACTGTACATTTGCTCAGTTGGCATTACATATCATAAATTACATGTAATTATTATTTAAGGTAAACTGAGTGCAATAAGAAATCCAGCTGATTAAGTTTTTAATGATGGCTTGTATGCTAATATTATGGGCAAATGGGTCCCACATGTACCACTTAATAGAATCTCAGACAGTCTCCTAATCTGAAAAGCACATGTCATTCATCTCCTCTCTATAATTTGTGATTTGTTGAAGTTCTATCAACTCAAATCGCAGAGTGTTTTAGTGTTTCTATCGTATCATGAAATAGGAGGCAAAATATATAATGGTGGTTACATATTTTGAATAAATAAAAGAAACCAATATTTTTTTTATTGCTCAGTGTGAAAACAATGAATTGGTTCAGTAATAAACAGTGCTCCAAAGAGAAATGCTGAACTAAATGAGTAATTTCCTAAGAGAATATTTTCGCAGTTTATTATATCTGTAAGGCAATTTGAGGAGCAAAAGTCTAATTGTTTCAGTCAGCCTAATAGACGTAATAGTATTTCATATTTTAAAGAACACTTCAGGCAATATTTTAAAAACCCAGGGAAGATGTTTGTCTACATCCTTGGTCCAAGGGTATTTCACTGAATTTAAGCATAAATGAAGTCCTTTGAAGAAGGATGGTTTGTCTAGTGCATTTCAATTGCTTGAACATGATGAATGATTTTCTAAACTCATGGTGTTGTCACAGTTGCTCCTATTTTCAACACTGGTGCCCAAAACTGAATGCTATTTTGAACAAGACACTCATCAGCCAGGCACCGGTACTGAAAATGGGAGCAAATGTGAGCACGGCATCACCATTGAACCAAGATAAAAGTTGTTTTCAATAAATTCAACATTGCAATGCTTTATTCTCAAAACCAATGCAGTGGTTTTCATGATTCTAGATAGAAATTTGTTATTAATTTGATTTTTGCAATTGAAGTGTTTTTATTGTTGATTGATATCCCATGTTGTCAATAGCAACAGGAGTAATAACAGAGAACCATACAGTCCCAAATCTCATTGCAGCTGCGCAGGGACTGAAATTTTTGTAAGAACAATCATTGGTTGTCTATATTGACAAACAGGAAGCTAGCAAATCATAAGAACGACTGTCTGTCATCTATGAAATGATATCATTTGAACGGTTGTTTTGCTATTTTCAGGGGATGAAGGAGATAACTTTTACGTACTTGATCAAGGAGAAGTTGAGGTAAGGAGCATAGCATTTCATATTTATTAGGTATCATCTACAGATATGAATATGATTGAATACTTGTGGCTTATTTTATAAATATTATGAACTAGAAATTAAAAATGACTGTTGATTTTGCATCATGGGCTCCTGATATCTGCAGCAAATACTTTCTGCACACTAAGTCATACCGCCATATTTGGCGAGCAATACCTCATTGGTATATTCCGTATTTAACGTATTTTACACTCGAAGATAGAGCCAGAAAACCCTCCTTGGAGGAGCCATGTGTTCTTTTGTGTGCACAGGTACACAGACATACAGGTACACACCACAGCCTTTTTTACGAGTCGTGAACCACTCACTGCTGTAATTCTGTTAAGAGGGTAGATGCTTTTTAAAAATGAGAAGGAGAAAATAATACATGAGTTGATTGAATGGTGCCGTTTTTCAATACAGTATGTCAGTTATGTTACCCTGTTCAGTACTTAACAAAATGTCATTCACAGTAAAACTATTTTGACAGTCTAAATTATGCAACCAATCAATAGCATTGTGTTTATATATCATTAAGAGAATTCTTCTGTATAAATGAATACTGGGTACACATTTCATGGCAGTATTGACAGCCTCATGTTGTAGACATAGCACAGGCCTTCGATATCACCCAATTTGTCCAATAATGTGAGGTCGTGGATCGTTGTATTATTAAAAAAACAGATTATCACTTAGTTATGGCATAATCTATGAGATATTTACATGCAAAGCTTGCATATAAATGCCAAACACAACATTAATGCCCTGATACCAAATTGCCATTGAAATGTTTTACCACCCAACATTGTGAGCCTATGGAATCAACAGCTTACTGTTTTATGACAGCTTGCTGTTTTCTCCATTTTAGAAGAAATCAGCAAAAATGTCACGCCTTCTTTAACTTCCTCCTTACAGCAGAGATTTCCCATGGGCCCAATTATTGTAAAGACTTCCACATACCCTATATCTTATTTAATTAACTAAATGTGTATACCATCAGTGATTGGTGCTAATCTTGAGAGTTCAATTTGCCCTATAACTCTGTTTAATATCATATTGCTGTTTTTATTAGCTCACATGGTGAGCTATTGTCATCGCCCACTTGTCTGTCTGTTTGTCTGTCCATTTGTCTGTCTGTCAACACATTGGGAGCTAATTCGAAAGCCCTCCACGATAATTTGAATGGTTTCACTTTTAATATGTGTCTACATAAGGTCGTCAATTGTTCTTTTAGTGGCATCTCAAAACCTCACCTTGTTGCAAAATGGCGGCCATTTTATGGAGTAAAAATCAGGTTTTCAGCTATTTTTTGGTCTCCACAAGTTTTCCACTAATTCGCTTGAAATTGTACAGATACTTTAATTTATAGGTTATCAATAATCCCTACACGTTTCTGCAAAACAATTTGCAAACATTCAAAATGGCTGCCACTTTTATTGTGGAAAAATCAGGTTTTCAGCTTGTTTTGGTCATAACTCGATAAGTATTTCATCAATTTGCTTGAAATTATACATGTACCTTAATTCTTAGATTATCAACAATGTCTACAAGTGTTAGCAAAATATGTTGCAAAAATTCAAAATGGCTGCCAATTGTGTTGTAGAAAAATCAGGTTTTCAGCTTTTTTTATCATAACTTCACATTTATTTCATCAAATTGCTTGAACTTGAACAGGTACTTTGATTTATAGGTTTAGGTTATCGATACTTTGTTTACAATTAGGCAAAATATGATGCAAATTTCAAAATGGCCACCACTTTTATTGCAGAAAAATCATGTATAAAGCTACCTTTTACTTGTGAAATTCCTCTGTTCCAATTTCATTGTGGAAAATGGTATTTCTTGATCCAAGCTAATACCCATGTCTTTGATTTCAGCTAGCTAAGTACTTCTTCAAAATTATTATCAACCTTTCATAATATGCAAAAACGTTTATTATTCTAAGCTCCTACTGTAGAACATTAAAAATATTGAAACCTTCCCATGTGAGCGCAGTACCTGTGGTACTATTTCATTATATGTATAGATTCCTTTCTTTCTCAAATGATTAGGGTTATAAAGGCAAACTATAAATAAAGCTACATTTGGGATTACACATATTTAGGTTATCTTATTTTAATGTTGAACTACTTGTTGTCACGGAATTAGATATTATGTACTATTTCTGTTGTTCACCTCAAAATGACTTTTACTGAGAAATAAATAAAAATAAACAAGCATTTACACATCTACTTTGTAAAGTCCCCTTGGGAAATTATGTCTGATAACAAATATAATATCACGAGTCCTCCACTATGTGAAGACGTTTATTAAAGAAACACAGTTATATATATAGATCAGTGAAAATGGAAGCGTATGGCATTTTCAGTGAGTTCGTGTTATTGTTATTCAAGAATATAAAATTGTATCATTGACGTTATCCAAGTATCATTTTTTAGTTTCATTTCCATAATTATAAAGGAACTTTAATACAAATGCAAAAACTAGTACTGCATTTCATCAGTTTATTTTGAGATTCAAACAAAGTAATATACTTCGAATGATATATAGATCAAATCTTGATTGCTCCAGTTACAGATCATGATAGATTGATTCAAATCCAAATGAAATGTTAATGAGTATATTCATATGGGTAGTTATATCTGCTATTCATTCAAATTATACTTGACTCATCCAATATTGAAACTATCGTGCAACATTCATTCTTGGATGCTATTCATCGAAAAGTTTCAATATTGGATATGGCAAGAAGAATTTGAAAGAATACTGCAGTGAAAAGATGTATGATCAGATTTGCACAGAGACTGTGGATTGAAGTGTTCAAATATGCAGGTTTCAGTGTCAATGTTCTTATCTAGGTGTAGCAATATTAAGTAGTGATGGCACCAATTGAATACAAGTTCCATCAACCTTTTAGAAAGCTATACTGAGATCACCCAATGATGATTAAAATCTAATGTTCCACATGTATTTTTGCATTGTAGATTTTCGTCAACAACACGCTTGTGGTGACACTGGGTGATGGTGCCAGTTTCGGAGAGTTGGCCTTGATTTATGGCACTCCTAGAGCAGCGACAGTTAAGGTCAGTGAAACCTACCTACGTTCAATCTTCAGTTAATGGAATGAAATTGAGTTTATTTCTCTGAGATTAACAATCCTCTTTGAGACATTCTTTTCGATTTCTGCCTGGCTATATTGATTAACGGATGTCTTCTGCCAACTTGCTTAATGTAGGGAAATTGAAATTGAAATTGAATTGAAAGAGGGCGAAAAAAAATTTCATTTATTTATATTTCGTTTCTTTTCATCGATTATTAGTATTACCATGGGCTTTAGAATAATGGTTATTATGTCATCACCAGGATGGCGGTTGGTGTTGGGTATCTGTAACAAATGGCAGGTGGTGACATTTTGCATGTTAATGCCTTGTTACATCTTTGTTTTAGGTTCAGTTGTTATCTATGCTTGTAAATGTTTATTTTGAGGCTCATAAGTCTAAACCATATGATGCAGTTATATATAGCCCTAAACCATAAATAGAATACACGAAGAGTACTAATTCTAGGCCTTGTCATTTTATACACTAAGATACTTTGGAAATGACAGTTAGGCTAAAGTGTTGACAGTCATCTCCCCTGTCAGGGATGAAAATATGTTCCTCTACATACTCCTTTTTAGGAATTCCTAAATCTTATGTTCTGTCATTATGACATCATGATTCCCATGGTTATAAGAATGGATAAAAACTCTCAGTTTAGAATGTTGAACAAATATATCCCAGGGGCATCCACTGGCATATTACCAGTTAAGAAGTAAGAGAATTCAATAATGTTTCATTCTCTTACGCGAATATGTGATTTCCAAGATTTCCATAATGGATTCAGGAATATTCATTGCTAAGAATTTTCTTGTATTGTTCCCTAAAGTATTTTTAGGTGGTGGAAGTATTTATGAATTTGATTTTATATTTCAGGCTAAAACAGATGTGAAGCTCTGGGGGATAGATAGGGAAAGCTATAGGAGAATCCTCATGGTAGGTACAATCAACTAAAGGAATCCTCATTGTAGATACAATCTGTGGTGAAATCAGAGTTGAAATTAAGGGAGAGGGGGGATAGACTAAGGGATTAGATAGGGAAAGCTACAGGAGAATCCTCATGGTAGTTACAATCATTGGTGACATTAGGGGATCAAAATACATGGGATATATCCAGGGAAAGCTAAAGGAATTCTTGTTGGTGGTGGAATCTGGGGTGAAATCAGAGGTGACATTTAGGGGATAATTAGACACAGGGAATATATAGGCTTTGCTTTAGGAAAATCCTCATGACAGTTACAATCAGGGGTGAAATCTGGGGTGACATTAAGGGGATAAAACCCTTGGAAGCCATCCTGAGGTGCATTTCTCATAACATTGTAAATAATAGATGACGGAATCATTTATTCATTTTGTACTTATGGAGATTGGTGAAATAGACAATTGATTTGTTGATCAGTAATTATACAACGTTTAGAAAAATGGATCCCAGGGGTGCTATTATGCTGCAGGAAAAGAATGCAATTCTAAATGATTACTCCCTGTTGCAAATTGCTTTAATTAGGACATCCATCGTAATTAGGACATTTGGCATTCTGTACAAAATTTCTGAATTTAAATCTATTACAATGCTAGACAAAGATTTTACTTTTATCATAAATGGTGACAACGCTTGATTAAATTGTGCCAACCAATTTACAATATTTTATTGGTTTACAGGTTAATTAATATTTGTTTGTTTATTTTATTCAGGGTAGTACAATAAGGAAGAGGAAGATGTATGAGGAATTCTTGGGTAAAGTTTCAATTCTAGGTAAGTTTGCAATAAACTGTATTTACACTGAGATAAACAAAACCATGATATACTTTACGAATGTGCAGATCAAAGATATCAAACATTGTTTCTCCGAATAACCTATTATTGCATAATAGGCAATTGACTTGCAGATTTTTAACTTTATTATATTTAGATGCAATCGTAAGCATTCTTTTTATGATTTCTTTAGTGTTCTCTAACTATGATTTCATGATATCCATTGTTACTTCCGTTGGATGGGAGTACTTACAGTTCACCCGTATAGCTCAGTGGTAGAGCACAAATACCAATTATGCATAGGTCCCAGATTCGATCCCCGGTTCAGGCACTTTGCTTGTTGCGTAAAGTAGACTCGTAAAAAGGCTGTGGTGTGGAGTGCACATAAAAGAACACAGGGCTCCTTCAAGAAGGGGTTCTTGGATCTGCCTTCCATGATTATGCTTTAATTACGAACGTATATATATATGGGATATACCAAAGAGGTATTGCTCACCTTTATTGGTGTTAAACATTGTTGGTATTATATTGTTCATACTTTAATTGTGTTTGCTAGAAAACATTGATGCCTGGGAAAGGTCTACCATAGCTGATGCCTTGGAGCCAGTCCAGTTTGAAGATGGTCAGGAAATTGTGAGGCAGGGAGACCCAGGGGAAGATTTCTTCATTATATTAGAGGTCAGCTGTTTTTTTGTTGTTATTCAATGCTTGTAGAATACATATTCAAGAACGTATAGATTGAACACTTATTGAGCAATTCATGAACATTATTGAGCAATTCATGAACATTATTGAACAATCAGACCTCCTGTAAATCTTATTTTGCTGGAATAATTTTGTTGATAATGTTAGTATATGTCATAAATTCTGTTTTTGAAATAAATATTTGACCAATGGTATCATTACTGTTGGTGTGATTTTCTGCATTGGTGGATTTATATTTTGTTCTTGCTGAATTGATAGACTGTGATGCTTACATCTGCGCCCAACTTTTTTTTATCCAAATGATTGTTAATATCCTTTGTACAGTATTGGTTTTATCAATCCAAAAGTGATTCAAAGATGAGAAGAGGATTACTGCTGATAGGAAAAAAACTCACAAAATGAAAGATGACTTTATCATACTTAAGAATTGAGATTCTAAAAAGTATTAATTTATTTTCCAGGGTACAGCTTCAGTGTTACAGAAAAGAGCAGAAGGAGATGACGCGGTAGAAGTAGGAAAACTAGGACCCTCCGACTATTTCGGTAAAAAATATCACTATTTCCACGGAGCAATAAAACTTGAATTTTTTCTGTTTGTGTTTTAAAACATTCTAGATTAAAACTAGGAATACCTACATTAGAATTTCTCTATTCATTGGTTAACACATTTTTAAACCAATGTCATAAAATTTACTTCCAGGTGAAATCGCGCTGTTACTGGACCGTCCTCGTGCAGCAACAGTTGTACCCCGTGGACCCCTTAAATGTGTAAAACTCGACAGGGGCCGATTTGAAAGAGTCTTAGGACCATGTTCCGACATCTTAAAGCGAAACATTTCCCAATATAACAGTTTTGTGTCTCTATCAGTATAATTGGACTCCACATCGGAAGCAGACATGTTTTATATGAATTTTCATACCAAATGTATTTATAGGCTGTACTATAGTGTATCTGTTTGGACTCACCAATCACAGTTTAGGAGCTTGGAAGATATATCATACCTCAGTTTAGCATTATGGGATAAAAAATGAGGAAAACGCACTTGTTACAGTCCAACAAGTTTGTTAAAGATTAAAGATATATTTATTATGTTGAGGCGAGAAACTAGATTATTTATTTAGTGGCAGGAAAGTAGATAAAAGAAACAACACTAGGTCCGCCACAAATTTTTGTAAGGGCCTCATTACCCTTGCAATTTATTTAGTTGTTTTGAATGTCAAATATGTAATGTGCTTTACATGTAAAATGGACATCATATAAACTAAATAACTTAGTGAAATCATATCATTGGAAAGGACCATACTTACATATATCATATGAAAGGACTTATTCGAGGGATGCTTGTGTCACATTATGAATTATTGCCAAGACGTGTCTTGAGTCATATACTTTTTAATTCGTAATAAAAGTTAATTGGTGATTTTATTCCACTCTCTTCTTACTGGAATTATGTAAAAATACTATTTTTGCTGTAGATGATTTGGCATCACATTCATAGTTGTTCACAGTACATAAACATGGTACTTTTAAGTTTAGGAGGATCATGATCCCCTACAAATCATCCTTCAAGATCGGCATCACTGTCCCAGATCATGGAATAAATTGAAATTCTCTTGGATTAAGGATTCTAAAAATATTTAGCTCATTGTTTATGAAACCAGCTATACCTAGTATTTGTAAAGGATTATCTGTCATATTTATCGATTGGGAGCTCATGAAACTTACAGCTAGAAATGTAGTTGGCAGATTTGATCAAAAGATCCAAATCTCAGGAACTCTAGTAATAACAACAATAAAACAAGAGAATCTTCACACAATACAAGCAGTAGTATGGATAGGTAGTGATACAACATTAAAATTGCCAGGATTATCACCATATGTTAAATCAATTTACAGCAGAATTTAACCATGATTCAAAAATAGGTGAGGCAAAGTTGAATAAGTGAGGCAAATTTGAATAAGTGAGCCAAATTCAGATAGGTGACGCAAACTTAAGTCAAAGAGGATATTATGGCACATAATTTTCAGTTCTTGACGAGAAAACATCTGAGGAATATTTTTCTGTAAAAATTTGGTATTTGCCTCAGTTCATTAGTTCACTACATGCAAGTTTCTGTTCCATTTTTCCTGAATACAAACTCTCAGTTGTATCTGAGATTCATGGTGTTTATTAGCTTAAGACATATCTATGGTATTATGTCCAAGTGAACTTCAATTTTATTTTGTCATGAAATATGTATTATTTTCATTAAACTCAACATTAGGTTGAAATTGTACTATAGCCTGAAATCAAATCTAAAGTCTTTCCAATTTATAGATGGATACATCATGATAAATTAAAAAAATTGAGTTGAACATTGATTGTTCATGTTTATGATACTCCATTATAAAATCCTTTATATAATATAATAAGTGATCGAGCAATCATCTTATAAGATGATATAGCCTAATGGGAGTTGTGGTCTAACGAATATATTATGTATCATAAAACAATCGAGGGAAAGTCAGTTTCACTTGAATGTACTGTTGTTAGTGATATAACCAGTCAAGTCTTTGTTGCCAGGATACGGCTGTAGTCAAGACTGGAAGTCAAGCTGTTTTTTATTAATAACCCTTTTGTGTATTGGAATTATACATGTGTATATTAACATACAATTTGTATAAATGTAAACCATAGAATAAAGATACATTTTTGATGGAATCTTTTGTTTAAAAAAATGTTTTCTGTAGTGAGTCTTATCTCTAGTGAATGAGTGGTGAGGAAGTCTTTCTAAAAATGTAATTCTGCAAATCATTTTGAGTCTCAAATGCTGCCTTGGTAAAATCAAAGTGAATTTTATGAATGGGTTTAACATTCTGTGTAAGTGCAGTCCACATTCTAACCAAATACAGAAAATACCTGGGTAAGTAGGACCCCTTTGGTTCCTCAATATAGTGTTGCACTATGTAGTTTTGCACTATGAGGTGTTTGGTGGTTCATTTTCCATAAGTAGGACTTTGAAGTGTTCGATTTATGGAGGTGTTTCACTTGTGGTCCATTTAACAGGTTTTACTGTATGATCTGTGGTAAATTCAATCAAAGAAGAAAGGAATTGAGACTGCTTTGGAACAAGGATTTGCCCTAGTTATCCTATACCCTATAAGTAATACCTGGTAAATTGACAATATTTTTCAAGTGTGGCCCTCATAGACTCGTTACATCCTGCCACCTGATTGGAATTGAGATGAACTGCTCCTATTTGAATCCAGAATCAGTTCAGAATCTCATCTCATTTAATTGAATCTCTCAATTTAGCCTCTTGGAAGAGATTAGGGACTGAAAATTATAGATTGAAATAGGCTTCTATATCAATATGATCATTGATCAATAAACTTAAGTTACTAGTAACTTAAATTACTAGTATTGATTTTTCAATGTAAAATGTGCAGATGACTGAAAAAATCTTAAATCTTAACTCTTTATATTCAGTAATTTTCAGGTCCACTTTAGTGCGATACAAATCCTCTATATCTCTTATATTAAATAACAGCGAAAAGCAATTGGAATAACATTTCTTTTATTATTTCGGGCTAACTCACCCTAGGTAAAAATGATATAAGAATGGACGCAAATAAAAAGGCAAGTATAATATCAACAACGAATCTCATTAATTTTGATTGCTTCTTTTTTGGCGGTTTTTCACGACCCTGTCCTTTAAAATGTTCTATAACTTTGGAGAGATCATTCTGAACTGTGGGTTCGTAGCCAAGATGCTGTTTAGCCTTGGCCATGTTGAAATAGTGAGTGACCCCTGTTTTGTACACCTGTAAACATAAAAATAGCGAATTAAATAATTATAGTTATATTGCATCTAATTCATTAATTTTTATTTATTCTTTTGATTTTAACAGAACAATAATTCTACGAGACATATTCAGTATACACTTAAATTAATTTTTTTAAATTTATTCTTTTGATTTTAACGGAACAATAATTCTATGAGACATATTCAGAATACACTTAAATTTATTTAACCCTTATTTACCTCGGTACGTGTGAGCAAAGGCTGGAAGTTGTAGAATTTACCAAGTACCCTGTGAATCAGTTCAGTCAGGAATGCTGTAAAATATGGAAGAAGCATCAAGAGTGGAGTGGCAAAAATGGATTAATACACTACAGCACATTAAAATGCACCTTTCTCAGTGAATTTCAGAGGCAATTCTGTCATTCATGGACTAATCACCCAAAAATATCTGTTTTAGCCTAGATGGAGTACATGATAAATATATTTGTTGTACAAAATGCTTGGTTTCCATGGATACAGATCTCAAAGTCAAAACAAAACAAAGGTAAGATAGAGCATTATCATTAACAAAATGTCACCACCTGGCTGCAATTACAGAGAATGTAGCAATATTAAATATATTATAGTTGCTGAAAAATGACACCCAATTTATTTACAAAAACAGTGACGGTCACAAAATGCCACCTCTTCTTGATGGCATCATAAAAAACATATATTTAACATTAAAAAAAGCTCCCGATCATTCATGATGTAAACTGCCTTCAAGTTTGAATTTATGGAATGCAATTTACTTACCTACAAAATATACTAAGCCAAGAGGTACCCTGAGTTTTGGATATGTGTAGCCCAGTCCTTCAACCTGCAATAATGAAATGACATGGGTTCAGACATAATCAACGTGGCCATGTTCAATTATATTGTCACAATGTGATAAATGTTGTATTTCTCTGTTAAAGAGCAACCCTAAAAAGCAACCCTTGTATTTTGGAATAATTCTCATCATTTGGTGGAATCTTGAATTTCTTATATATAAGCATGCCTCAGTGTAAAACATGATTTTTTGTACATGAATTTCAAAATCATAAATGCTGTGTAAGTACATCTTTGTTTTGGGCACCCTGTAAATTGAAATCACTTCGAAGGGCCGTTGAACTAATTAAATGATTACAACTAGGATATAGTTACTCACCATTGGTTTGAAGAAGAGGAAGTTATTCACTGGTTTGTCATCTGAAATGAAGTACGCTTGTCCCTGCTGCAACATAGTAATTGTCAGTCTTTATACACAGAAACTTCAGAAAGTACATGTATGTAATAAAATCTGTCTAATCTAAACACCACTTGGACAAGACAAAAATGTCGGATTACAACTTGGACTAGCCAAAAATGTTCGGATTACTACTTGGACTAGCCAAAAATGTTCGGATTACCACTTGGACTAGCCAAAGATGTTCGGATTACCACTTGGACTAGCCAAAAATGTTCGGATTACTACTTGGACTAGCCAAAAATGTTCGGATTACCACTTGGACTAGCCAAAAATGTTCGGATTAGCAGGTGTTTACATTTCAATTTCTTTTCAAATGTGCGAGTCAATGAAAGATAATAATTTGGAATTGAGAAAAAGTGTTCACATTGAGAGTGATTTAGATTATAGAGGTGTTCATATATATATAGGTTTCATTGTATTATATTTTTACGACATATTTTTTACAAATGTATTCATATATTTTAGATAATATTCATTGTAATGTTAACCCTTTCCCTGCCAGCATTGTGAATACTTACAGCAATGTGATCTCGCTGAGATGTTAACCCCTTCCCTGCCAGGACATGGGCTTGTACCAAGTTGTCAACATGCAGGAAATCAACCAATGTTTTATCGGCCCCATAAATCATTGAGAAATATCCCCTTTCTATATAGTTCTGGAATTAAAAAAATATGTAAATGTACAATTAAACCTCTCAAAGGTGAATGCAGTTGAGATTGTCCGAGGTGTTCGCTTCAAAAGATTCTGCTAACATGGGTGATAACAGGAGGGGAGGGATTCTAAAATTTCTTATTTTAAGTTTAAGACATCTTACACCTTATATTTTATAAGGCGAACCTCCAGCATTGGATGTGTCCATATATGCAAGTTAAACAGCACTGGCTTTAACATTACCATTAAACAAGTAATAATATTATTATTACATTTAGACATATTCAATGATACAAACGCAATAAGCACTAACCATAATCCTTGGCAAATGTCGCTGTTCTCCAGGACCATAAACACCAGCCAGACGTAAGGCACATGTGTGAAGCTTCAGTCCATTCTCTAGTATGGCACCATTTCTGTACAGCACTGATTGCTCAGCTATAGACTTTGTCTTGGAATAATGATCTGAATGCTGAAATATATATACATGTATTCATGTTATTTATTGAGTCGGACAGAATTTGGGTTAATATGAATCTAGAAAACCTGATATATTGCAAACATAATGAATTGAATTGTATTGCAAATACATGCATATCTCCTATTGAAAACAAATGAAATAATAAAAGACCATGAATACCTCCTTAGAAGAATTTCTTTTACATGGGCACAAATACAACTAGATCTAGATAACAGCAAACCAAAGCAAAACAAATCCCATCGAACAGCAATAACTACTATTTTTGGAAATGGCCACATATATTAGCCAAATTGCTATTAAATGGTGAAATATTCTACTTAGTATGTACTAGTGTTGTCGCGATTAATCGATACATCGCGATATACATCGCCAAAGCTGATTCTGGCGATGCATCGATGTCTGAAACAAAACATCGATGTTTTTAAAAAAAAATTAATTTGCTAAAAATCACCCTTTCTTATCTTATTTTGACGCAAATCGCTTACCTTTCTCATGACTTATTTCATTTTCCAATGTTTTCTGATATTCTTTCGCTTTAAAACTGCTTTAGCTAGTCGAAATGAACCATTAATCTAAAAAAACTACTTTTACTTTCATTTCACCGTTACTAGAAGTTCCCAGATGTACCAGCGTACTCTTATTAATTTGTTCTGGTCGGTATTTTAGTGCATTAGCATTCGGTATTTCAGTGCACTTTTCTCTGACTTTTTCTCGATGTACAGTAAAACCTGAGTTAGTGAACACATCTCTAGTGAACACCTATTAACAGTGAACATTTTTATTCGGCAAAACCTTTTTCTCCCATTGACTCCCATGTTAAAGTGCAATCCTATAGTGAACACCTACCAACTATGAACAGTGAACACTAAACGCTGGCAAAATCAATTGAATTATCCTGTCTCTAGTGAACATTGAATCAGATATAAGATTTCTCGCAGATTTTCTGCAACTGCCTTATCAGAGTTAAGCAGTTTATGTTTATATTACCTGCCAAAAATAATTAAAAGGTCAATTTGAGATCTTGATCTCTTCTATTGAAACAGGTGTGACTAATTATAATTCTTAATAAGCTTTGTTACAAAGGATATGCGTCTGGGATTGATTGCTTGGAGATAATCTGGTTAACTATTATTACCTCTATCTGCTAAGTCCCAACTTAATCTTTTTTCTCATCCCTTCAATTTAAAAAAACGATTGGATCAAAATGATAATTCATGATCATTTCACTATTAACTGCATCTATCATGTCCTTTAACTAATTCAATAAAGTCCATTAACTGACTCAAATGTCTCAAAAATTCCACTATTTAAAGGACCATCTTGATGAGATAAAAAAGAATTATATAGAGATGAAAATTTGACAATAAAAGTATGAACCATTCAGATGACAGTCAGTATAAAATAAGTCAGTTTGTATATAGCATTACAACAAATTAAATACTTAATGCTTGAGTGCCATGGATTAATATGGGTAGAAAATACAATTTAAATTGATTATTCAGATATGAATATGTTTTAATTCTTTTTAAGACTCATTTTAGTTTGATAAAATGTGCTGTTTTAACCAACATGGAATTGTGGATATTTTTTGATTACATGCACCTTAATGTAAGAGTGCCACTGTTAAAAAAGTGTATATCTAAATAAATAAATAATTAATAAATAAATAAATAATCCCTCTTCTTTTTTAATAGCTGGTCTCTTTATATAATACGGCAAAATGCCGCGAAATCAAAACATTGTTGTAGTGAGCACCTACCAACAGTGAACATTTTTTTTTGGCAAAAAATTGTTCACTATACGCAGGTTTTACTGTACATCGCGATGTGCATCGATGTTTACTCCTGAAAATTGCCGATGCATCGATGTACGATTATGGCACATCGCGACAACACTAGTATGTACATATAAAATTTCAACAAAATTGCTGCAATAGGTTTTTAGTTTTAGCAAAACAGTAAAATAATACACAAAAATGGCTGCTTACTAGCCAAAGAGTCATTGGAAACTGTAAATAACTGTATATAAAAAAAAATCAACAAAATCACTCCACCACTTTTCCAGTTACAGTAAATATCGTAAAATATTGCCACCATTTTTGCCACAACAAGCAAAATGCTTACTTTATCCATTGGTAGATATGGCAGCGTCTCATCACCATTCTCAATGACTTGCCCTCCAAACACCACATTGTATGTGCTTGTATAGACCAGGTGCTCAACATTGTGTTGTATACATGCTAGAGATACAAATAACATGCACTTAGTTCTGAATACTGATTACAATTTATACAATATGTTCATCAAAACCTGTAAATGAGGACGCATCTTTGAAGGAATGTCCTGAATCTGAACAGAATTTTGTCCGTTGTCTAGTTTGTGTAATCAACTGATAACTTCTTATAGACAAAGTCAAAGTCAGCGGTGTACTCTTGATAGGTAATTTATCATGAGGTCTAACTTAACCAGATATCGTGTTATACACCATTCTTTACAAAAATCATTCATAAATATTTAAAGGAATCAACTCACCCTTAATGACATTTTCGGTCCCAAGTACATTCACTTCTTCAATCAGCTTCTTGTTTAGCTAAAATATCAAATAAGCACTTAGCAGACCATGGAATGATTGGTTGGTTAATACAAACAAGTTAAGGTTGTGTGACTGATTATGAATTTACATTTCACATTCTAACGCAAAGTCTAGGAAATGCCTCAACGTTAACTGCTTCATCTATTTTCAAACTTTAGATGGGGCCTTTAACTGCTTCATCTTTTTTCACATTATTGGCTTACATCAGCATATAATAATATAATATATACAATAATAATAAATCAATATTAATCAAATGGCATAAAAGGTAATTAAGACAAAGCTAAACTTACAAAGGTTTTAGCAAATAGCTGTTTTTCCATCACTGAATTTTGAAATGTAACTCTTTGGTAAGTACCATCCCCAAAGTGTATCATGGTTTGTGTTTTTCAAAATGTTGCCCTTTGTGCTTTCTCACATTAATGTCAGACCAACAGCAACATATTTTATAGCCTTGACCCACCTGTTCTCTCCCAGACATGCCATAGGAAGCCAGATGGTAGACGGTGGTGACATCATTAACAGCCTTGTTAACTTCACTTAGGTTTCTAATATCACCCTGAAGATAATGTATATAAAAATTTATATTTGAGATTGGTGATTCTGGATAACAATGTTAATAATAAATAAATAAATAACATAAACATACATGTCTGTATTTCCCTTGATTAATATGAACTTTGAGATTTTAGAAAATATAGCATAATGAGAAAAAATGAACTGAAACAATTCTCAAATTTTGCAAAAAGTAGCATATTTCGCTGATTCTAACTCTCAACATGTCATCACAAACTCACCTGAATGAATGCTATATTTTCATCATTAATATCTTCTAGTGGTTTCTGGAGATCAAACAGGACAACTTTATGCCCCTCTGCTAATAATGCCCTGGCTAGATTTGTTCCCACATAACCACATCCCCCAGTTATGAGATCAACTTCTTGTTCCCTGAACATAGAAGTTGGTCTTGTTTTCACCATGTTTTAGAGACCTACAATTGCCATTAAATACTATATAATATATGTAGTACAGGTATCTAAAAGCAAATAAAAAAATACAAACAAATGTGAGATCGTAAATCTTTAATTGCTGGCACGTTGTTTAAATTTCGTCCATTACTTAATTTCTCTTCTTGGAAATGAGGCTTCTTATTGTTTTCTTCTGAATATATAGAGTCTAACTACAATATTTTATCACATTGAGGACAAAGCGATTTTTTTCCTTTTTGTTTTTTTATTTTTGGGAACTATTACTGAGCTACTTGTCTTGTCTTGTTTTGTTATTCTTGCACTTCTTTGTTTGCCGCAGCACTTGTTACGCAGACTAACTTCACATAGGAGCCAGTTACTGTCTCCCATATTACTTAAATGTTTATCTCGTCTCTTTGTCTTCTTAAGACTTTTAGTGCTTAAGTCCAAGTATAAGGTATTTTGGCATAGACTTAAATAGTCAGCGTTTGACTTAGTTCCACACCATCTACTTTTAAAAAAACTAAAATCCTATGGATGTAATGACAATTTTATCTCCTTGATGACATCTTATCTTTCAAACAGGAGAATACAAGTACGGGTACAGTTTATCCAAATGGTCAAAAGATCGGGAACAGCGTAATGCTGATTTTGATCCCAGCCTTAATGGTAGTCATAATTTTACCATAAATGCGGGTGTGCCGCAGGGGTCTGTTTTGGGACCCCTATTATTTCTAATTTATATTAACGACTTACCCGACAATCTCAACTCAAAAACTTTTATTTTTGCTGATGACACTGTATGATGCGTATGATAAAAATGAAGTCTTTTTAAACATTAATCAGCCATTACAAGATGACCTTGACACTTTACACCAATGGTCATTATTGTGGAGAATGAAATTTAAAGCTCAAAAGAGTGCTGAGATAACTTTCTCGGGGCAACGTACCCAGACTATTAACCAATCTCCCCTAACTTTGGGGGGTGAAGAGATACCCATTTGCACAACTCATAAACATCTTGGACTGGTCCTGGATTGTAAACTTAATTTCAATGCCCATATAGATCAACTAATTGTTAAAATAACCTCCCTAATTAGACCCTTGAAAGCTCTCTGTAAAAATATACCAGGTAAGCACCTTGAAAAAATCTATAATGCTTATTTTTTACCACACTTTGACTACTGTGACATAATCTATAATAAAGCCTCCTTAGCAAAACTACAAGCTCTCGACAGACTGCATTACAGAGCAGCATGCCTGGTGTCTGGTGGTATTCATGGGTCAAGTACAGACAAAGTACTTTCCTCTATCAATTGGAAAACTCTCTCCTCGAGGAGAGATGAACATCTAAAAAATTTTTTATTCAAAGCTCGCTTCAATTGTTTCCCACCCTTTATTTGTGACCTTGTTCGTTCATACGAAATTACTCATACCAGAGACCTTAGATACCAGCATGACTATAGAATTCCGAACCATTTGAGTTCATCTTGTGGCAAATCCACTTTTTTTAATTCCATGAATGTTTGGAATAAACTTCCAGCAGCGATAAGAGTTGGTCAACCCATTTCAAGGTTTAAAAGGTCAGTGAGAGAGTACACAAGCCTTGTCTCTGTATCAACTACGAAAATGACTCGGTGTATGCCAAACAAAATTGAAAGAAAGAAATTGAAAGAAAGTATGCTAAATTCAATGCCCCGTGTGGGAATTGAAACTAGGAGCCTTGGATCCAAAGACTGATGCTAGATACCGACTGAGCTACAAAGGCTTAGCCACAACAGCTGGGGCGTAGTAGCAACTTGCTTTCAAGGGTCGTTACAGTTTTGTTTCCGGTAACACTCAGTAGATCTAGTATAAATTAGAAAACGGTTCGAAACGTGAAATGGATTTTGAAATCTGAAATACATATTCCGAAGTAAATACTGGGTCAATTCATATTGAACTTTACATATATAATAAAAACGACTTTATCTATCTTTGCATTGATCATACAACCATAACAGACGCGTGTATGAAGGAACAAACGAAGTTAAATGGGGAATGTTTCATAAATCTCCTACCGGAAATGCGTCTCCTTTTTGTTTAGCACAATTGTCGTAATTTTGGACACATCTCTTTGAATTCCATTCCAGACCAGAATAAATAAAAATAACATATACAAATACAATTTTATGAGTTACATCAAAGTGTCAGATTCGTTTTGAGCTATAATTAGTAGGAAAAAAGGTTAATTTTAATGCTGAAAATTCGACCTGAATACGAGTCACGTGACAATATGATTTTCGATATTAGCGTGTGAAATTCATAACAATTTTTATGTTTTAGTGATTTTCTACATACAAATCGTAACAATGGGGCGGAGATCCATAAATACCACTAAGAGTGGGAAGTACATGAACCCAACAGACCAAGCAAGTAAGCATATAGATGCCTCATGTCTTTACAATAATCTCTGAAACTTGAACAAATTTCCAAGTCTAAATCCAATGTTTTGCTCAGCAAATTTGTTTTTTCCTCTACACTTATATCTAAAGTTTCAGGTCCTTTGAAATGTTACCACAATATGTAAATGTATCATTGTATGTATGAAAGTAGAAATTACCTTACAGCCCTGTTATTTGTCAGGTCCATAGCAAGATCATTGTTTTCACAATATGTGAGTCTATCGGGAGTAAGTCACCCCCTCTCTATTTTACCCTACATGTTTAACGTTACTCCCCTTCTCTATTTTACCCGATATAAACATATAGCTAAAAATAGAGAGGAGTGACTTATTCCCCGTGTGTGAGTCCAGCCACAGTGAGAAGAAAGATACTGGGTACATGTATTCCAGTAATCCCTAGTACCTAGATTAGGTCCCAGGGATTAGGTACTGGGGACATTGTAGTCTAGATGTGCTGTGTATTTCACAGCCTGACTGCTTGGCTAGAATTTAAATTAAAAAAATAAGAATGAGACTCACTTACCTTTCAGAAGTTAGTAAACATTCATGGATGCCAGCACATAGACTTTGTTGCGTCAACCGTTGAGAATAAGCACAATATCCAAGACATCTGAGAGTAAATGTAAAACAGACTTGCTTCCTCATAAGTTCTGGAAGTTTTGATACATATTATAACCAAACACATGAGAAATTCAAATAGGTTTGCTTTATTTTAGCATGTAAGCCCACTGTATGCGATCTTTGAATGAAGTGCATGCACAAAAAACCAAACCAGAAAAAAGAAACCTTGAGCTGATTGCCTTTACTCGAAAATTAGAATATTATAGTGTATTATTTGCAAAAAGAAGACGCTTCACCTGCCTAGATATCAGTTCAGTTTTATCAGTTTGATAAAATATGTTTTGTTTCATTGCTATGTTCCTAAAATAGCTTGAGAAAGGGTAAATTTGAGATGATGTTATTAATCTATTGCTGGAAATTAATGTCAGTTTTATGTTCTTATAGGAAAAGAAGCTAGAAAAAGAGAACTGAAAAAGGTAAGTGGTTGTTATATTGTTAATATGGCTGTTTGACTAGCATTACAATTGTCCCAACCAAGCTTCAATGAAATCTAGGATCAGTATCTCTAAATGATTACTAGTGTTATCAAAAATAAGATAAATATTTCAAAGAATCGGAAGATATTATTTTATCTAAAACTATATTTTCAATTCTTCCTGTTAATTTTGAACTCCTACTTGATAAAATGGAACCATTTTTGCAGAATAAGAAACAGCGAATGATGGTTCGTCAGGCTGTTCTGAAGGGGAAAGATCCACTAAGTCTGCTTGTTGAGATGGAAAATGTGGACAAAATGGGTTAGTACATTTTTAAGAGCCACTCCTCTTTTGTGACTATTGTACTTCTGAAACTGTTCATTTAGTTGCTATATGTCTTATATGTATTAAGCATATTTTATATTAAAATAGCAAAACATTCAAACATTGTTTTCCATACATTGCATACATGCATTTGAGTTGAGCAAATTCACAAATTACAAAGTTATTTTCAATATTTTGATTCATTCTTTCAGAATATGACCCAATGAAAGCACCTTCCTTGAATGAAAAAGTATTAAAAGACAAGCGGAAAAAGCTGAAAGAAACATTTCAAAGAGTATATTTCCTATACGTAAGTGCATGCCATTGTTTACGTTACCACCTAGAATTAGAGGTAATAGAGTAGACATTTTCAGTGATATTCTTCGTGAGAAAATCTCATTTCGTAGTTGAAACAGAGGTTAAGTTAGATCATAAAGTGCAATGGTATTTCTATATCAATCTGTTTTGAATAACTTTTTTAAAAACTGATCTTATCATTAAGAATGTTATTAAAAAATATGAACATTGTAACACGATTTTAAAAATATATACAGGAAGAAAAAAGTAAGTACAATAGACACTTATGGTAAAAAATTCGAATTAATTGGTTTTATAAAAATTTTGTTCTACACTGTACAAATATTTTAAACGAGTGTCATATGAGTGGTCATATAGGCTCCTTTGATGGCAGGGGTAACTGGACAACTCAACTCCTATACTCACATCTCATCCCTGGACATTTCATCTCCTAGACGACTCAACCCCTATACACATCTCATCCTTGGACAATTCAATCCCGGCGCAACTCAACCCCTGGACATTTCATCTCCTAGACGACTCAACCCTTGGACATTTCATCTCCTAGACGACTCAACCCCTATACTTACATCTCATCCCTGAACAATTCAATCCTGGGAGAACTCAACACCTGGATATTTAAACACCTAGATGACTCAAGCTGTATACTCACATCTCATCCCTGGACAATTCAATACTGGGGCAACTGAACGCCTGGAGATTTTATCTCCTAGACGACTCAACCCCTATACATACATCTCATCCCTGGACAATTCAATCCCTGCGCAACTCAACCCCTGGACATTTCATCTCCTAGACAACTCAACCCCTGGACATTTCATCTCCTAGACAACTCAACCCCTATACGCATCTCATCCCTGGACATTTCATCTCCTAGACAACTCAACCCCTGGACATTTCATCTCCTAGACAACTCAACCCCTATACTCACATCTCATCCCTGGACAATTCAATACTGGGGCAACTGAACGCCTGGAGATTTTATCTCCTAGACGACTCAACCCCTATACATACATCTCATCCCTGGACAATTCAATCCCAGCGCAACTCAACCCCTGGACATTTCATCTCCTAGACAACTCAACCCCTGGACATTTCATCTCCTAGACAACTCAACCCCTATACACATCTCATCCCTGGACAATTCAATCCCAGCGCAACTCAACCCCTGGACATTTCATCTCCTAGACAACTCAACCCCTGGACATTTCATCTCCTAGACAACTCAACCCCTATACTTACATCTCATCCCTGAACAATTCAATCCCGGCGCAACTCAACCCCTGGACATTTCATCTCCTAGACAACTCAACCCCTATACACATCTCATCCCTGAACAATTCAATCCCGGCGCAACTCAACCCCTGGACATTTCATCTCCTAGACAACTCAACCCCTATACACATCTCATCCCTGAACAATTCAATCCCGGCGCAACTCAACCCCTGGACATTTCATCTCCTAGACAACTCAACCCCTATACACATCTCATCCCTGAACAATTCAATCCCGGCGCAACTCAACCCCTGGACATTTCATCTCCTAGACAACTCAACCCCTATACACATCTCATCCCTGGACAATTCAATCCCAGCGCAACTCAACCCCTGGACATTTTATCTCCTAGACAACTCAACCCCTGGACATTTCATCTCCTAGACAACTCAACCCCTTGACATTTCATCTCCTAGACAACTCAACCCCTATACACATCTCATCCCTGAACAATTCAATCCCGGCGCAACTCAACCCCTGGACATTTCATCTCCTAGACAACTCAACCCCTATACACATCTCATCCCTGAACAATTCAATCCCGGCGCATCTCATCCCTGGACAATTCAATCCTGGGAGAACTCAACACCTGGATATTTAAACACCTAGATGACTCAAGCTGTATACTCACATCTCATCCCTGGACAATTCAATACTGGGGCAACTGAACGCCTGGAGATTTTATCTCCTAGACGACTCAACCCCTATACATACATCTCATCCCTGGACAATTCAATCCCTGCGCAACTCAACCCCTGGACATTTCATCTCCTAGACAACTCAACCCCTGGACATTTCATCTCCTAGACAACTCAACCCCTATACTCACATCTCATCCCTGACAATTCAATACTGGGGCAACTGAACGCCTGGAGATTTTATCTCCTAGACGACTCAACCCCTATACATACATCTCATCCCTGGACAATTCAATCCCAGCGCAACTCAACCCCTGGACATTTCATCTCCTAGACAACTCAACCCCTGGACATTTCATCTCCTAGACAACTCAACCCCTGGACATTTCATCTCCTAGACAACTCAACCCCTATACACATCTCATCCCTGGACAATTCAATCCCAGCGCAACTCAACCCCTGGACATTTCATCTCCTAGACAACTCAACCCCTGGACATTTCATCTCCTAGACAACTCAACCCCTATACTTACATCTCATCCCTGAACAATTCAATCCTGGCGCAACTCAACCCCTGGACATTTCATCTCCTAGACAACTCAACCCCTATACACATCTCATCCCTGAACAATTCAATCCCGGCGCAACTCAACCCCTGGACATTTCATCTCCTAGACAACTCAACCCCTATACACATCTCATCCCTGAACAATTCAATCCCGGCACAACTCAACCCCTGGTCATTTCATCTCCTAGACAACTCAACCCCTATACACATCTCATCCCTGAACAATTCAATCCCGGCGCAACTCAACCCCTGGACATTTCATCTCCTAGACAACTCAACCCCTATACACATCTCATCCCTGGACAATTCAATCCCAGCGCAACTCAACCCCTGGACATTTCATCTCCTAGACAACTCAACCCCTGGACATTTCATCTCCTAGACAACTCAACCCCTATACTTACATCTCATCCCTGAACAATTCAATCCCAGCGCAACTCAACCCCTGGACATTTCATCTCCTAGACAACTCAACCCCTATACACATCTCATCCCTGAACAATTCAATCCTGGCGCAACTCAACCCCTGGACATTTCATCTCCTAGACAACTCAACCCCTATACACATCTCATCCCTGAACAATTCAATCCCGGCGCAACTCAACCCCTGGACATTTCATCTCCTAGACAACTCAACCCCTATACACATCTCATCCCTGAACAATTCAATCCCGGCGCAACTCAACCCCTGGACATTTCATCTCCTAGACAACTCAACCCCTATACACATCTCATCCCTGAACAATTCAATCCCGGCGCAACTCAGCCCCTGGACATTTCATCTCCTAGACAACTCAACCCCTATACACATCTCATCCCTGAACAATTCAATCCCGGCGCAACTCAGCCCCTGGACATTTCATCTCCTAGACAACTCAACCCCTATACACATCTCATCCCTGAACAATTCAATCCCGGCGCAACTCAACCCCTGGACATTTCATCTCCTAGACAACTCAACCCCTATACACATCTCATCCCTGGACAATTCAATCCTGGGAGAACTCAACCTATAGACAACTTAGTAACATGTAATAATTAAAACATTTTAATCATTTTTATATTTTAGGAAAAAGAAGATCCAGAATATGCAATAGAGTTGAAAAAGGCTGAGGAAGAATATGAGAGCAAAAGATCTAAAATGCAAATATTTTATGGTAAGGTGATAAAAACTATGTAATGTATGTAAAAATGTATATATTTCTTTCCTGTCAATATAATATTATTTATTAATACTGATAGATGCTCTCAAAAGTATTGGTTAAACTGGCATTCATATTGAAAAATGATTATTAACAAATCTATAATCAGATAATACTTGTTCTGTAAGTTTGTGTCTCTAACAAAGAACCTGATAAGTTTCATTGATTGGAGGAGTTTATGTAAAATGGCCTAAATGACATTTTGGTCAAACTTTTTTCAAATGTTATAATTTTCCTCATTAATTTTGTTCTTGTGCGCTTTCAGATCAAGTAAAGAATGCAGAAAGTGTACAAATAGACCAAATCCCCCTTCCTGATTTACCAGAAATGAATAATGCCGTCCCCTCCTCAATACCATTGCCTAGTGAGATCCCTAGACCCCCCGACAAACCAATCATTGGAATCCTGAAGAAAACATCTGCATACACTAGGTATGAGAGTGTTTTTTTATAGTGACAATTTAGAATTAATTTCTTTATTCATGAGCATGATTTAGAATGTTCTTTTATTTGTTGTTATTTTGTACCTTCATTAAACATAATTTTATATATTTATAGATATGTACTTTTCAATTACAGTGAAAAACAAGCTCCGGTCCAAATATTTACAACAGTTGAACTTTTACGAAAAAAGAACCCCCCAGGACCTCCACCAGAGCCACCTATTGATCTTTCTGAGAGTGAACCTGAAAGTGAAGAAGAATACGATGCTGCAGAAAAACGTAAATATCTTTGCTTATCAATATTTTAAAAGTCTCATTTTATGCTTGATTAAATCGGACGAGACATTTTTGTAAATGTGTAAGTGTAAGCCGTAAGGCCCATAGCCAGACATGATAAGATTTTTATTGTAAAGCATATTATAACCTCAGAAATACACAAGATGCTATCAACTTGCTTTTAAATTGTAAATTTTTTCTTAGGAAACATGCCCTCACCCTGACCCCCGTAGCATCTGGCTCAATAATACAATAGCACCCCTATTGCAACAAGGTGGCTATGGGAAGGTGCATGCCTGATTTTTGCAGATAACGTTGATATAAGAAGTACATCTTTTAAAATTTGGAATCATGACATCATTGTTTCTTGTTTTATTTTCTACATACATTGTCATATAACTATCGTTATATTGCAGATATATTAGAAGATGCAGCTCCCCCTAGTGAACGTAAAGAGGAACCAATGTCGGATGATGAAGAAGATGAACCTAAAGGTATGAGATATATAATAAAGTGTGGCACCAAGAAATGTTACATTCTACTTTTAATAACTTTCTCAATTATAAAGGAATCTGAATAATGTCCAATGTAGATCACGCCTCTTAGTTTTTACGAAGGCCCCCCAACGAAGTGGGCGGAGCCATTCGTTCTATGGATCGACTGTCGACCATTCACGTGACCAAAAGTCCGCCATTATTACCTTATATGGCAAATCATCAAAGCAACGATCACGACGTCATATGTTGTGTTTGTGATGAAGATATGACGTAATATAACATGAACTATGACATCAGTTACTTATTGCCCTATCAACTAAACAGACAAGAAAGCTAAACGTCACACATCACAGTGTTTATTATATTTTAATTTGTGACTTCATTAACATATTACCTAGCCAACAGAAAACAAGCAGTAAAATGTAGTTTGTTCATTGTCTTTCTCTGTGGCATTTCCATAAAAAGTGGATCAGTTTTGTCAAAATAGCATTATGGCCTTCGTGTTTTTCTAGTGTCATTTTCACTTGATTTTCTTGTTTGCAAGTTAAAATGATTATGAATGAATTTTGCAAGGGGAAAAGGCAAATTTCATGGGAAAAACAAAAGGAATCCTTCCATCTGTCAGTGACACAACTTTTAATGATCATACATGTTCCCACCTTATTCTTTAAGAATACTTTTGAAGTTATCAATGATTTAAATATGATTTTGCAGCCAAGTCGCGTAAAATCCGCTTCAACGTTGATTCCGACTCTGATGATGACAATAAGGAGAAGGGCCCTGCAATGAAGCCTGCAGTTTCATCTTTACAAGTGATGATGTTGAAGATGGCTGGTCAGGTTGTGCCCATGGTCCCAGTGGAGGAGGACAAGCCTGTAAAACCACCATCAAAACCAGTAAGTTGGGCAGCAAATACTGAATCTTTAATCTTAGATTATTAAAAAATTCTCATCAAACTGCAGATTCCCAGATATTTGGTTACTGTACAGGGTGTTCCAAAAGTAGCAGTCTTGGCGTTATTTCTGCAAGTATGACTACAGTTAGTACCTACTGTATATTTTTAACTCACATGAAGTGAGCTTTTGTTATCACCCTCTTGTCTATCTACAGGGTGTCCCGAAAGTATGCCCCCCCCCCTAGGCAGACATATACCAGTGTCATCATAGTATGTGTCATACAACCAGGGGTTGAACTGCATCATTGACTAATAATTGTTATAGAGATTAGACACATTGAACCTTAATACCAATAATAGCAAACTCTCCTTTCAAATGACTCCCTTTTTCCTTTGTACCTTTTCTATTTCCAATAAACATTTATTAAAACTATTGTGTAATTTAATACACTTATTTTAAGTGTCATTGCATTTTTATTATTTTTCCATAAAAACTGAATGTAATTGTAAAAACTTGACTAAACTGAAATATATATTATTATTAATATATAATATATCATTTTAAAGCTTATCCAAAGTTACATTGATTTGCCAAGTATCATGGTTCAACTCTCAAATGGGACAAAGTCCGTCATTTTAAAATTTAGTGTTCGTCCAAAATAAAGTTCAATTTCACACTACATTACTAGTCAATGTGTCCTCCCTAGGCCGTGTTACAGCAGCAATTCCTTTCAGATATGACCTTAAAAACTCTTAAAATAGGGGTGTGGAGTTTTGTAATCCTTAAAACCTTTTGACCCACTTTAGAAGAGTTTCCTTGGAGTATCTACCCTATCCATTCTCTTTTTCAAACTCAATATCCATCGGATAAGATGGCCTTGGAGGACACATGACTAGTATCATGTGTGTGTTTCACTTTTAGAGGTGTCCCATTAAATTACAGGTTTCAATGTTATTCCAGGAAAGAAAGAGGACAAGATTCCAAGATGTGGAGAGTGACTCCAACAGCTCAGACAATGAGGATGAAACAGAAAAAGAGGAGAAGAAATCTATGAAAAAGCCATCAGATGAGGGCACTAAATCAATACCTGTCCCACCTGGTGCTCCCCCTGGCCCACCCCCAGGACTACCCTCAGGTCAGTTACATACTGGACATCTTTCCCCAGGTTCGAAATGTCCCTTCAAAGGTTGTTATAAAGTGGGGAATTTTGTTTGCAAGTTCATTTTTTGTAGCTCTTATTTAATTATTTCTGCTTAGAACTCTACTATTTTGTTGACAGGGGTGCATATGATTATCATTAAGTACAATTTAAATCTAATATTGTGTAATTTTTCTTGAATGTAAAGATCATTTTACGTTTTAGGTCTGCCTCCTGGGATTCCTCCTCCAATGTTCAGACCCCCTCCCCTACGTGGACCCCCAGGTGTGCCTCCAAGGATGTTGCCCCCAGGCCCACCCCCAGGACGTCCCCCTGGTATGCCTCCAGGTCCACCGCCTGGCCTGCCTCCCAATATACGAGGAATGCCTCCACGGATGCCCCCAGGCCCTCCACCAGGTGAGTACAGTGTGGCACTGCTTGAAATGGGGTCTTATTTTGCATATCATGTACAGTATATCAATCCTTCTTCTCTTTTTTCAATCGGGAATAATATGGTCGATTGATACACACCTTGGATGCAAATGCTTTTTCTGTCCTGGTAATTTGTGGGTTGTCATGTCCTTGAAGATCATCAAGGAACCAATCAAAAGTGTCAAAATATTTGTTTCACCAGCAGTCACGCTTATGAATTCTCATTTTATGGCTCTTCAATGGCATTGATGGGGATTCTATTGAAAGATCTTTTGAATTGATGTATATTTTCACTCAGTAAATGTATGTTTACTCAGTAAATTCATTCTTAGATTATCAAGGTGATGTTTGAGTAAATTGAAATTATTAAAAATTGAAACAATTAATAGGAACTATCACCTTTTCATTTGGTAATTTCATGTTATCATATTGGAGCATCTTGCGGTTGCGAGACAAAAAGATATGAGTATCAGAATTCAAATTGCAATTATATTGTACTTGTGCCGTTTTGTAATTCAACAGACTAAATCTATTTTGAATGTTTCAATCTTTAGGTATGCCTCCACCCAGGATGATGAGACCCCCAGGGGCACCTCCCCCAGGAATGCGACCGCCACCCCTTGGACCACCTGGAGGCCCTCCTGGTCTGGCTTCAAATCCAAATGTTCTCAGTGCACCCCCAAGTATCTTGAAGCTCCCCCAGAAAGTTCCAGTCACAGAGAAGCGCGAGACAGGTGCCACTATCGAGGCTAAGCCACAGATCAAGAATCCTATTGGTGATGTTACAAGATTCATGCCAACGTCCTTGCGTGTGAAACGTTCAACGAAAGACCAGAAAGGCAAAGCTAATAAACTACCTGGTAAGATAACTATGGATTTATTACAAATGATAATTAGAATTTCATGAATTGTTAAATGTGGAATTTCTCAAGGGCTCTCTTATTTCTGGCATGGTTAAAGACTGACAAAAATATATAAATATGTATCTCATACTTGAGTGGGTTTGGGGTATATATCACCCGGGAATATATATCATATCTGAGGAGCAGGCAGGATATATTGTATATGTCCCGCTCCAGGAGTGGAGAATTCGTACGATCCGCGATCCGATCCGGATAAATTTCGTCATGGTAAAGATGCATTGTGGGATTAATCCAAGAATTCTGTGAATTTGTACGATCCTGGGATTAATCTCAGGATAAATCTCATATCTGGATTGGATTGGGGATCGTACAAATTCATGGTTCCAGGCCAAATGTGGGCAGATATAATATATCCATACAAGTTTTGAGTGATATTTCCTGTATCAAAACTGACCATGCATAAGTGTTGTATTCCATACCTGATGAGGTTTGAAATAATAAGCAGGTCGTCAACAGATCGGTGTTCCCCCTTAGTGTCCAAGTACTCATTCAGTACTTGAACATCTTTTGCGGTGTGTTCATTTTCTGTGTTTACTAAGAATTCATCCACATTACTTGTTTTCAATCTTAAATTTTGTTCACCCTGATCGTTTGGCACCTCTGTCTCTTATATAGTTCAGTGCTGAAATAGTTATGACGTAAATTCCAATAGCCATCGTATGTCCCGGAGAATGGCTTATGCGGGACATACGATTTATATGTCCCGGATCCTCGTTGGAGCGGGACATACGAAAAATATTTGCCCAGATATGGAATATATTCCCAGTATGTCCCTGAAACTCATCGGGTATGGAATACACCCTTGTTTATCCTATCATTATTTTGAGACTTTTATTTATTTTGTAGATGAACAGTTATCTCTGGGCCCATCTCCATCAGTACAGCCAGTCAATGTGAAGACAAAGGATGACGCCTATGATGAATTCATGAAAGAGATGGATGGACTCATGTGATCTCAATCTAAAATAGGATTTAAGATGTGGTAAGTTTCATTTCAAAATCATTGATATTCAAGTGTGACAGGCATTTTGCAGGTTTAACATGGGGTATATATCACCCGGGAATATATATCATATCTGAGGAGCAGGCATCCATAAGTGGCTATATTCATTCATATTTAAAAGAAGATCACAAACACAATTTTGCCTTCCAATTTTGTTTATTTCTTTCTTGTAAGATCCATAAAACGTATTATCGCATTTTATTCAAATGGAAGGTGTTTAGATAGAGAACACAAATATGAATTCACCTTTCACATTTGCCACATTTTGACTTGTGCAAAGTTTTGTCGTTAGCTTTTTCATAGATTGTCATGAGCTTGTTCATAGTTTGTCATCAACTTTTTCATGATTTCTCATCTCTTTTATATGCAGCATGTTGTTGTCACATTGTTTCCATTGTTGTCAATGTTGATATAATTTTTCACAGTAGTACCAATGGTCTGAAATACAGAATGTTAATTTATCATATAGTAAGGGGGCCAATCAAGATAACATATAAAACTCCCCAAAACATACAAATTAATTATACTCATTATATCAGTCATAAGAATCTGATTTTCATTGCTCAATAACCTAGAAGCGAGTAGGTTGTTACTGGTTTCACCGCCAGTTGGCACATTCTGCTCAGATAGCATGGCGGGTATAGTAGAAAATTTCCTTTAACTTAAATATTCATCAGTTTCAGTGAATCAATTTTCATATCACCCTTATGTTTCTAATAGTTATGCAGATTAAAATATTTCCTGTAAGAGAAAATACTATCTGAAGAAGAAAAAGATATTTCACTTTTTGTGATTTTATAACATGGGGTCCATCATGTCTATAGGGAATCTCTGCGAACTAGAAATCACACTTTCAAAAAAATTGAATTTGCAAAGTTAATAACAAGTTTTGAAATCATGTTTGTAGATGGACTTTTACGTGTAGATTTCACACATGACATCACTTTGACTGAATTTTGAATATTTGATGATGCAAATCAAGATTATTTCTACTCGCATCTGGTCTTGCATGTTTGTGATGGATTTTCATTATGGATGGAGGGAGGAGTGGTCATTTTTCCCCATTCCAGATTCTCACATTTTTGCTATTGATGTTCCCTTGGAACATTTTCCATATGCTTTGCTCAAAAACAATTTCAAAAAAATTCTGTCTAAGTGGAACACCTTTGGTACCTCTAAAATGTGTTTCTTTCATTTGGGAGGTGTTCAACTTATAACGGTTCATTTTTCAAGTCAGTTTTTCTTGGGACTAGCACCTAAAAAGGTGTTCCACTTCTAGAGGTGTTCCACTTAACAAGTTTCACTGAATCCAGTGTAATAAAGATACAATGTTCACTCACCTCAATCCCTGTATTTGATACTGAATAACTTTCCATTAATATCTCCAACAAGGAGATTACCATCTTGGTTGATTGTAACTGCATGCGGATGGTATAGGCCATCTTTGTCTGTAAGTACATATTTCAGGAATTTACCCTCTGAGCTGAGTAAAACGACCCTGTCATTGTTTGAGTCTGCCACAAATATATAATCTCCTTCATCTCTGCAAACACCATAGGGATATCTGAGCCGTCCATTGCCCCTGTCCCAGTATTCAAAATTGAAAACTTCTGTACCATATTTTGCGATACCTTTGACACATTGTCCAGCATAGTCACTTACTATGATCACCTGTTGACTGTTAGTTGTAAGATAGCGAGCAAACTCAAATTTACTAGGCATGGGAGGCTCAACTTTGGCGTCCCTTGTAGATGGGTCAATGTTGTAGACTTGGTTGCTCCATGAATCGATTACCATCATCTTGCCTGATGAGTTCACGTGAATGCCTTCAAGTTTTGTTAACTCTCGACAAAAAACATCTCGTAGGTGATCACCATCTTCATCATATATACTGATTCTGTTTGTAAAACCATCTGTGAATGCTAAATTACCATCCTGCATTAGTGCTACATGTTGAAACTTGTGTTTCAAGTCCTTTATCATTTTGAGACTTGCATCATATATAATGGTCCTGCGTCCTACTGCAACGTAGTTACCTGATGGTGTAACAGCTAGATCAATAATACAGCAAGGATGTACTTTAGTGCTAGTTAAAATAGGCACGCATAATGGTTTGAGAACATCATAATTCTCTGGTATCGCCACCTTCCTCTTATCAACTGTTCCGAACTTCAATCCTACATCATCACATCTTCCTTCGGTGAAATCAAAATGAATCTTTCCTTTGAAGTTAGTGTTTGGATTCTGGGACCATTCCTCAGATTTCAGGTTTAATTGCTCCATAAACTTAGCTGCTAAAGGGAAACCACGCTCGACTGTGGCACGATACTTTTTGACTTGACCCTCGATGACAGATTTCTGAGTCTGTAATTCATCATTATGCCACATGACCCTCTGTTTATTATATTCTGTATCATGCATCACCTTCTCTGTGTGTATCTTGTATTTCTTGCGAACAGCCTGAATCATAGCATTCATATCATTGTTTATTTCAGCTATGACGTTTTCAGCATGTTGATCCAGGTCACTTGCATATTCATTTGTATCTTGAATTGCCTGTTCATATTTGTTCATAAATTCACTTCCGAGTGTTAAAATTGCACATACTTCAGGTTTATTCAAAGATTTTGTATCTTTTCCTGTTTTGATGGGTTTCCCTGTAGCATCAGCACAAGGATGATCAGGTTTGGTAATAGGATGGCACCTGTGGCAAAGCACTTGTGCACCTTTTAATAGCATATCATCATTTTGGCACTTTGAACATAAAATGCTATTGCAGTCCAAGCATCTCGCTCTTACTGGAGTTTGTATGTCCTCTTGTTCCCTTTGTCCTGGGATGGCTTTGTCCTCATGATCCTTTTGTCCCAGAGTGTGTTTGGCTTCTCGTTCAGCTTGTCCTGGGATGGGTTTGTTGGATCCTACACACGACTCGTATGATGGGGGAGCATCTTTATTGGCATTTTTAATGCTGCATTTCAATTCTTCTGCACTTTCCTGTGTTATTTGACGGCATTCTGGGCAGCTGAATGGTTCTCCTTGGAGTTTGGTGTTTTCGGTCAGGCTTTCTAAACACCTAAAGCAAAATGTATGCATGCATGGCAATGTCCTAGGATCTATACAAATGTCTTGGCATATTGCACAAAGCATAGCTGCTTTATCACTTTCGGCTATAAAGGATGCTATTACTGTATTTCACTGCATCCAACTGTATTTCTGCATTTTGTCTTGAAAAAACTATTAACTGTATTTTCCTCGTCTCTTTCGTAGAATATCATGGATCTGCCTCAGATATTACTTTCGACCTTAGTGTCTTTTGTAAGCTACTACAGTTGTTATGTATTTCACTGAAGTAATAAAAATTCCCACTTGGTAGGAGGGGAAACTGTGTTGCAATGATTTAGTGTTGTAATATCTGACTTGCAATGCTTTACTGTTGAGCTCTGTTGTAATATCTATTTCTTATTCTGGTCTTACACTACATTGCTGAATCATACATATTAGTATTGATATTTCAACAGTGCAGCAGTGAATATTTCTGTGTAGCCTGTGAATGTAATTTCAGCACTGCTGGTTAAGTTAAACTACAAGGTCATCTCAACCATTCGCAAACCAGACTGTGTTAGAGTGCTAGAAACCCTAGAAGGCCTAGAAGAACCATGATTCTTTTTGCATCAACATTGAAATGCTCCATTGAAAGGTCACAAAGGTCACAACGGGAATGATGGCTATATAGTTTTATCAATTGATATGAAACCCTTCACTAGCTACTTATAGTTATGATTGAAAGGTCTAGTAAACCCTTTCATTAAGTGGAATGAGTCTATTATATTATATTATATTATATTATATTATATTATATTCATTTTATATATTTATTCATTGAAAGTATAAAGGTAGCTGGTGTTAATGAATAATTTAGGACATCCATTGAAATAAATCCAACCTAGTTGTATAGATGGCAGTAAAAACCAAATGTATTTTCTGAAGCAGATTTTTCTTCAAATCAATGGACCACTGAATCCCAATTCTAAACGAATCCCAATTCAAAACGTTGATGAAAACCATGAAAAATAAGGATTTATGCATTAAGAAGATAAAAGATGAGACCTTTAACCCTATTTACTAGAGGTTTATTATGGGATATAGCCTCACGTTGTGTCCGCTCCCAGCATTGAATGAACTTTAAGAAGAACAATGAAATAAAATGAAGTATTCATTTTGTGAGGTGAGGAAGTCAATGATTGAGATAAAATCAATCAAATAAAAATCAATATGTTATTCTTTAAATAAATGAAGAAATTAACTTATATTGTAATCGATCATTGTTCCGTTCCCTCTGAACATGGACTTACAGCAAGTAATTCACCATTTTTGTGGACAGTAAATATAAATCAAGAATGTTGTATTTGTCATTTGATTTACTAGTAGTCTCAAGATGAGTGTTTCCTATCGCAGAATTGTCAAAATTACACAGAGTCAGATTACATAATACAATCAGATATATTTCTCTGTAAATTGACTTTTGATTGGGTACATATTGAATACAACAATCTTCTTGGATCTTTTTCTATTTGTATTCTTCATGATTATTTGCTAAGGAGCTAATCTTTGTACATTTAACGGCAATTGATAAATTTTCAATAATTTTTTCATCAGAATTGAAATCGTTTTGTTGTCTTTATATTATATTGTGACAGAATTCCACTTGAAGTTTCAAAAAGTCTTTATTTTCTTATAATTCATGAAAATATAAGTATAGTTGACATGGTTTTATCTCTGAGGTATTTTATACATAATGCAAGGTATGGACAGTCTTATATCATGCATGTTCTAAATCAATCTTACATGATAATTTGGGATGTCAGTGTAGTGTTAGATTTATCATTGCCTTTCTTTCATTATTTGATTTTCTTTCACAACTTATCCAATTTAATGTTTAAGAAGTTCACACATTGGACATGAAGATTTACTTTAGAGAGACAGATTGTTGCTATTTTGATTTATCATGGTTATTATAGGTTGCTGAAATAGGTTGCATATTTTCAGCACCTGCCTTATTTTGCCTTTTAGTTCCTATGACAACTGAAAACTATGGATTTGGAAATGAAAAAAGTTATTATATTTTAGTTCATCATGCATGGTTTTTAGGTTATAACATATCTGTAAACCAATGCAGATGCATGGAAAATTGATGTCAGGTGACATCAAGTTCTTCATTCAGATGTGACACTATTCACACTTTTCAAATGTGACATATTCATCCATACACTCTTGTTACCAGTTGATCTTTTTGAACTCTAGACAACATATTTTTCATTTTTCTTATTTTTTATTTTTCATTTATCTGAAAAAGAAAATGATAACATTGAAATCTGATACAAACATGATTTTGATATGGGATTTTAAGACAGTAGTCTTGGCAATAATAGTACATGTATGCATGTCGATGTAACCAGGACAGAATTGTTGGGTTTTCCTATTGGGTTACTATTTAGATTTTATCTTGTTTGTTTATCATGTCTTTGTGACATTATCTACTTAGAATGTGTTCGTCATTGTCTACTTAGAATGTTTGCTCATTTGGTTATTATTGATCAGCGTTGTGCTGTTGATAGACAACTGCTCATCTTCAGGGGGGGGAAGTGTATTTTGTTGCTTTCATAAATGTTATATCCCATGATTTACATGTTAACCTTATAAAAACCTGTTTCAATTTGAACGCTGAGAAATTCTTATGGTTTATAGGTCATTCAACTTTTTTACAATTTTACAAAAGTGTCTAGAGTTAAGTTATGGATCAATGTTTAGAGATATCAATTTTTTCATTTATGCTATGTTTTGATCTTTGGTACATGATCAATTAACTAACTGCCAACTTAACATTCAGTAACAATTGTTCACATTCAGCAATCAATTTACTTTGTTGCCATTTGACGCAGTTCGTATTGATAAACAATAAATAATGTTCACTTGTATGATCCTGTATCTTTTCTGCCTTCAGGTATTGGATACGTTACAAGTCACACTGCGATATCGATGTTTTTCCAGGAGATGAAATAATGGACAAGCAAGAGACTCGACTTACTTTATAAACAATTTAAAAGCATCTTCAGGTGATCTTACAAAAGTTCCACAGTAGGAGAATTTGTCCCGTGATTCTTTGGGCACCTGTTGCTGCAACATCCATAGCCAGCAGTAATGTGATTGGTTGATACAGACAATTTAGTTAATAACTGGTCATCTACAAAGAACTACTTTCTTTTAAACATAATAAAGCCTTATGGAGTTTGCAGGATGTATACTGTCTGTCTATCGTTTTATTTCTTCTAATATTTCTGCCATGTCAGTAACGCTATATTTGTACGATGTACATGCCTAGACATGCTCGTATGGAGTAGTTACGGAATATTACATATATTCTCAAGTTAAAATTGAATGGAATGGAAACAAAAATGTGTAATATGGAGATTTATGTATAAAAAATATGTAGTGTATTTTGTGACTTATATAAGAATTCATAAGAGGGAGTCTTAAGGTCAAGAAAATAGGAGTCCAAGCACAAATGGCATCCACGCGTGATTATGCTCTTGTAAATACCACCCTCGCTCAAAGTTTTATGATTTGATTTTATGAAAATATATGATACATAAAACTGGTGGAAATATGGTTGTGACTACCTTGTTGACAGCAGTTGTCAGTTCAGAAAGATTTAGAAAAGGTGGCGAGACAGTTTGCACTAATTAGATTAATCTAGAAATAATTTGCAACTTTTGGCATAAACATTAAAGAATTGATTGTCCAGGAAAATGCCCCAAGTATCAAGTATAGAATTGTTTGGAAAGCTTTTAAAGGGCAGATTTGTTGATCAGTACACAGTAATGTAACAAGTTTATTTCTTACTGTATGCTATACAAATTGGGCTTGAATTGCTTCCAGTTCAAAAGCCTGTATTTACTCAGATTAAATTAGAAAGCATTGTGAAATTTGGCATTTGGAATGATTATGTAAATTATCCCGAATCTTTAGGGGGTGGGGGTATTAAAGTTTACCTTCTTACTGAAAGACTTAGTGGAGAACCCATTTACCTTTCATAAGGAATTTAGAGTCTTTTATTAAAGGGATATTTTAATTGAGAAATCTAATAATGGCTACTGATCAAAAAATAACTTGCGTATATTTTACGGTAAATTTCTTCAGAACCTTGAAAAGTGCTTTAAGTTGTATATTTGTTCTTGTAATTTGACTTGATCTATGAACTGGTTTAAATGTGGTAATACAATGATAAAACAAACCAGAATTTTCTATTTAGATACTCAAAGAGGAATTAACTACAATCAAACTGACTGTACAATAATACACAAATTGTGTTCTACTTTTGTCTGGTCCTTAGAATTTTCCAGTTTTAAATCATTTGCAAAATGCCTTTAAAACCATTGATACATGGGATCATGGGCTTTCTCTTGAAAAAGATAAAACTAAGTGGTACAGATATAGAATGGCAAAGATTAAGATAAATGATTTGTGTTAAAATGAATCTCATAAATGCACTGACCTTCTGAAATACTGATTATATGTTATATCTAGAAGTTGATATTATGCTCTATAGTCATGACATACTGAAAGATTTCCCACAGCCACAGGGAAGTTCATTTGTGTGATGTATATTATATATAACATGCAAAATTGATATTTATAGTCTGCACTGGGCATAAAAATACAGAATCGTGAACTTTTATCAAAAGTGCACTATGTGCTAGAAATAAATAAACAGGTCAATCAATATATAAGCAAAAGTGCCAATGGGACCCCTGTGGAAACACACTCCACCATCCCAAACAATGTAATAACTTTAAAGGAAACCGTGTCCAAATCTGGGGTCCAAATACCCCACTAACCCATTCAGAATCCATTATCACAATCCAAAAAGCAGAGACCATTTGACATTTTACTCCTTCTTAGCATTTAAATAATAATAACCACCCACGCACTGTACTCTAACTTAAGAAATAGTTGTAGATAGTAGATATTGTATCTTATATAGAATTTACTAGAACTCTTGTATCAGCCCCCCCCCCCTACATCAACTACAGGTCCTGTTGTTGAAGTAGATAAAGGGGGGGGGGCAGGGTCTTGAAGCAAGACTAATAAAATGGACCATTCAGAGTATTACATTTCTTTCACTGATAATTGCAAGATTACCCTTTGCATTATACTAGGCAGAAGGTAGTTTATAACTAGACTCTGCGTGCAGGGTATGACAAGATAGCATACATCTTATTCCGGGTGCAAATTTAGGTCTATGATGATGCTCTCTTTTAAGAAAGCCATAAGTCAGACATATGCAAAGAGCAACGGGTTATAAGGACTAATGTTTAAAATGTTTTGCGCATTACTTATGTCAGTTGTATATGCACAATGCATAGTTTAAACTTAGTATTAGGAATCAATTAATATCAAACAATCAATGACCTTCACCTCTTGGCAAATTTAGATTTTGAATGCTCCGTCTCAATGGGATCATTATTTCACTATTCCAATATAATTTCACCAGAGTAAATAGCTCTTTATTAAAAGATTATGTAATCAATGAGCGCTTTGGGAGGAGAGTTTGCAATATTGATTATTAAGACAAATGTGATAAGGATGATATTCTTAATAATGGACACTTTTATTCTTTTCATTGAACATCTAACTGACAGAATCTAATAATTCTAATCCAAACAATGAGCTTAAGAACAAAAGTAAATTATTGCATGTCACATTTGAGAATTTGTTATAAAAATAGTATTGTGCATTATGTGCGTTATAAATAATTGCATCGTGCAGGTTCAGAAATTTCAGCAATGTGATATCATAATAACAATTATAATATCACACTTATAATAGCAATCAGTGGTATTGCAATTTTACTGCACATATTGCAGGCCCGAAGCCAGGGGGGTTCGCAGGGTTCGGACGAATCCCCCCCCTGGCCAAATCCTGGCTACAGGCCTGTATTGCACTCTATTTTTAGAAATAGCATTTGACGAACTCTCTTTGACAAATAATTTCTGAAGCAAATACTAATAAGAATTGTGTAAACTGTGTGTAGAATAATAAAAATGTGTAAAAGGTTAAATTGCAAAACCAATTGAAACAGTTAGAATTGAACTGGCTTTGACGTGTAATGTTTGGGAAGTAAATATTGCGGAATCATTCAAATGTGGGCATTTACCAGATAACTGTTTGTTCTTGCATATCAAATGTTATATTGTACTTATTGTTATAGTGTACTATATTTAGGTGCAGAATTCATGACACTGCAGTTTTGAAATAAGATTAACTGACTATTATTTTTTCAACTTTACCAGGGAAAGAATGTGCAATGTGTTTTTGAAATAGCTCTAAAATAGATAATAGGGAATACATTTTCGCTACTTTCGAGCATCTTCATTCTACTTGTGTTATAACAACCTTGGAATTCCAAGATGACTTTTGAGCCAAGTGGGGTATTTCTGCTGTGAAAATAGTTAGCATGTTGTCTGACAAGGGCTTGAAGTACTTGAACATTAAAATCATCTGTTAAAATTCAATCATAGTTTTTCCGAAAGGAAGAAATAGAATACATCCTACATGAATATGTTCAACGGAAATCTCTAAATGACCAAGCTAAGCTAAACAAAAATAATTTTTTAAGTAAATGCAAGTAAGGGATGATCTTGTATGCCTAAAGCCAGATTGTCATCAAGGGAAACTTCTATTATGTTCTATATGTATTGATCTGAACGCATTGATCTTTTACTCCGTTCTCCACAGGTATTTCCTGTGTCTGATCAATTCCTAGACAATGCCACCCTACAGTGCCAAAGGAGCTATCTTGAAATCCTCAATAATGAGCATACAATATACTTGCTTTGGAATGTACTGCTGCCATGCTACTACTGTTGATATAAAAAATAATTTTAAAGTTTAGAATAATATTTTTATCTTATACTTTGAATGATATATTTATTATAAATAGGCTTGAGTCAATATGATGTTTTAGTAATTCCTGCAGTAATAGTTTGTGTACTATGTTCTGCACTTTGTTAAAGAGACTTGTGCTGCTGTTATAGGGACTTGTCCATGCTATATGCCTACAAGGAATTATTAATGGCAAGTCTCTTTATTTAACCGTGAATGATTCGTTTAATGGATTTCATAAAACTCTCTCATCCTTCATTCTCAAAACAAGTACTAACTGTGTTAATTTCTAAATTAATTCCTAAATAGTTTACCCTTTGCATTCGTTTGACTTCACTTCTTAAAAGAGAGCTTCGTCTTCACGTTTAACTAGACTCTGCACGCAGGGTATAAATAGTTCAATTTTATAAGATTTTTGTTTTGTTATTAACAGTGAATCAGTGAATATAAATGCAATTAAATTATATAATTGCTTTGTTTAGTTTGAATACATTAATGAGGTTATGCAGTAATTTGACAAGCCTAATTTGTGAACTCATATAAAATACTATAATCTCTTGAATGTCCATTTAATTATGAATGACATGCAATCAACCCATGATTTTGTACTATTAGGTGAAGCAAACATTGATCTGTATTATTGATATTTTTCATTATTATTTATACTAAAAGTACAAGAGCTGGGTGAATTATCATTTGTAAGGCTCAGTTCAAATACTGTATAATATAAATGACATGCATTAAGCTCTCTTTCGTGATAAGGTAATTGGTATCTATAAACACATTTAGTTATACATGGAGTAATATAGGTTTTCCGTACAGAGTGACTATTTCATCATGATGATCCTGAAAAAATAAATATCTATAAAAGCAAAATAATTTCCCCACTATCTTTGTTTATCAGTTAGGATGTGATCCTGATAAATAAAATCAGTTTAAAAAGTCAAATCTGCATATTTCTCAGTCGCTTCCCAATGTTCCAGATTTCAAGGGGGTTATACACTGACTTAACCTGGAAATGACACGTCAGCAAATTATAGAAACTTAACTTGCAAATAATCAAATATCATTATTAATTCTATTGAAATTTTCTGTAAAGATTGTATAATCTATTGAAGGGTATGGCTATTGGATTTAGATGAAACTTAAATGGTTTATGGCTACTTTCCTCTAATTTAATGTATTAAAAGCAGGATTATAGTAGTTCTATACCCTTTAATCCAAAATACCTGGGAGTTAAGTGATAAAATAATTAATGTTTCTTGCATTATGTTCGTAATTTGTCCATCTTTTTCAGGTTTATTCATCATGTATCGTATGTGCTTGTAATAGTGGAATGCTTGCTTCGTATATAGACAACTAAGTACATATAACAAGTCATAATATGAAGAGACTTCACATTTTAAATCTTATTCCCAGGTTTCTGCTTTTATCGCTAATCCTAAGTCATGTACAATAATATAAACACGATCATGTTGGGATTTTGCCGGGAGAATTCTGTACTTTCACAAATGTATTGGATTTACCTGTCCAAACAAGCTTTCCTCGTGAACTTGAGTTGAAGCTAATGATTTAAACAAAATTTCACAACTCTGTTTACAATTTGAAAATAGCTGATTTTAATGTTTACACAATGAACACTCAAAGACCAACAAAGTTCAGATATTTCTTTATGTTTAAAATTTGAATTGTTAGGGTGTTTCAGGGTTTAGCTTTCATTACGATGTGACGT